AAAATTTATTAATCCGGTTTCAAAGTGTATGGAATATCGATTACCCGTACTATGTGAGGCATAGAGACATGTTCACGTAAGATCAACAAAAAATATGAGAATGAAGATTGTTTATACTAGTTTTTATATATGTGTCTTGAGAAGAAAGGAAATGTATGTGATTCAAAATGTAAATCATTAATTTCGTATTTTCAAGATGTAATCAATTTAAAAAGTAAAGAATCTATAAAGTTCTCGATTAGTCCGGTTTCAAACAGTGTGGAATATCGATTAACCGCACTATGCGTGGCATTGCTGTATTATGTTTACTTCTTGATTATAGTCAAATATTTATCGTTGTTGTTCTTAATCTTTTATTACCAAATGTTTATAGTAGTTTTTTTTATATATATTTTGGAAGAAAGGAAATGCATGTAATTCAAAATGTGAACCATGTATTTCGGGTTTTAAAGATGAAATGTGTTAAAAAAGTAAAGAATCTATAAAGTCCTCGATTAGTCTGGTTTCAAACAGTCTGGAATATCGATTAACCGTACTATACGAAGCATTGCTGTATTATGTTTACTTCTTGATTATAGTCAAATATTTATCGTTGTTTTTCTTAATATTTTTTGGAAATAATTAAAGAATCTTTAAAGTTCTCGATTAATCCGGTTTCAAACAGTCTGGAATATCAATTAACCGTACTATGCGAGGCACTGTGGTATTATATTTAATTCTTGATTCAAGAATTTCACTTTTTATTAAATCTTTTGAGAAATACTGAAATAGGTATAATTTCGTTCTATAAGTAAGATGAGGGAAAAGGTGAAATTGAAGATTGTTTACTTCATGATTAATTTGATAATAGACTAGTTTTTATGTAAGCTTTGGAAGAAAGGAAACGCAAGTAATTCTAAATGTGAATAATGTATTTCAGGGATTGAAGATGAGATGAGATGAAGAAGAAAAGAATCTGAAGATGTGATGATTCGTCTTCGTTCTTCATCGTTTACGTGCGTTTCGTATAACAAATTTTGTTGCGAGTGTGTCGTAATCATGGGAGGAGGGAGTCTCAAGAAAGTGTGTCGAGAAATGATAAGTGCCCATGTGCACGGGTCGCTCCTCTTATTCACGTGGTGTCGGCCGGCCAAAGAGCAGGCACGTCTCTTCCTCTTCCATCGACTATGCCCTGATTAACCGCTCGGTCCAGTTTAGTGCGCGAGTGTCTTCCAAAACGTTAAGAACAAGAAGCGACAACAAACCGCATACGAAAAGAAAGAAAGTAACAAGTATAAGAGAACGAAATACCAAAGAGATGCCTTCGAAGTGGTTAATCTTCGCGCTTCTTGTAGCTACGACCTGGTGCGCGTCGGTACAAGAGGACGCTTCAACCAATGGGACCAGTTTGTGGCGTAACCTGATCGAGGATTGCAAGAAACCGACGATGGAATGCGTGCAGAAGAACGTGTACAAATACTTCGACGACGCTCTAGGCACCAAAGACGTATCAATCGCGAGTTTCCTCAAGCTCTCCAAAAACGACCAGAAATACGACCCGGAAACGGAAGATGAAGAACACGAAGAGACAGGTAGATCTACTCCCATAGAAGACGTCTCCAACGGTCTTCGCAACAAAGCCTTCGAGTTCGCCTTCACGCATGACATGGAGTTGAACCTTCCCGACTTCTTCGGCGGTGGCATCATGAGGATATCACCGAGATCATCGGAAGGAAGCGGCGCCCTTCTCAAGGTCGACTTTGAACCGAGGAGCGCGAACGAAGTGAGCGATCCCAGATTCTTCAAGAAGATCAGTAAGTTGTTGTTATTACTACTACTTCAAGCAAAACCACGTGTTACTAGAGCAGATTTCTATTACCTAGTTTTGTATTTAATTTACTGTTATTCGCGCGCGTCGCATCCCAAATCTTCTCTTATTTTTTTTTTTTTTATTATTGATTATCTCATTTTCTGGAAGTGTCACGAAGATCACGTGTTTCGTGCCGTGTTGTTCCATGCGGAATTATTTAATAACAAATAAAAACATAACTCATTCTACTTTGATATCATTTGTACCAAATAATATTGCAATTTGGAATGCAGCAAATTAATGAGTTGACTTGACTTGAATTTCTTCATTTTTTAAGGATTCATTAATGGAACTGGTTTTTTGGGTTAGTGTGACTCGCATCTACACTTAATTACTATTTCGTAGATTTGAATACTTCTAACCGTATTTTTAATGTTACGAATTATAAACATGTTTGAAATGTTACAAAATTAGTACAATTATATAAAAAATTCAATAATTTTGTAAATAATTCAAGAATTTTCTTTTAATATTTGTTGATTATTTCAGATATTGCAAAAACAATGCAATTTTTAAATATGTTTATTTTATATTCAACTTGAAATTCATACTAATTTGGCAATTATTGAAATTTCTTTATATTTTCCAAATCTTTTATTATAAAATTGAATATTATACATTAAAAACATAATAAATTTCAAGATTGATAAAAAATAACAAAAACATTGCAAATATTAACAAAAAATTATTTGTTTTCAATTGTTGTTTCTCAATTATCAAATCAAATTTATATTTTTCCAAGGAATTTCATTATTGAGTTTTTTTATTACAAATTTTCTTTTCAACATTAAAATTATATATATTTTTCATCATTATAAGAATCTAATTGATTTTCTTCATATTTTTCTAATATTTGCTTATTTTGTTACGCGATTCAATTATTATTAGTTAAAAAACATACAAAATTACAAGATTTGAACAAAAATATTTCAATTATTATCATTAATATATTATTTTTCGTCAGTAAACAAATTTTTCTTCCCCATTAACAACTGAAATTTATAATTTTCCAAGGAATTTCATTATTGATTTTTTTTTTCAAATTTTCTTCTAGAAATTAACAATACAATATTATAACTACATATACTTTTCATCTTTATTAAATAATTTCGCAATTATTTGAATTTTTTCATATTTTTCAAATCTTTGCTTATTTTGTTAAGTAATTCAATTATTATTAATTAAAACATACAAAATTACAAGATTTGAAGAAAATAAATACTCAAAAATATTTTAATTATTATCATTAATTTATTATTTTTCATCAGTAAACAATTTTTTCTTTCCAATTAACAACTGAAATTTATAATTTCCCAAGCAAATTCATTATTGATTTTTTTTTTAATTTTCTTATAGAAATTAACATTACAATATTATAATTACATATATTTGTCATCTTTATTAAATAATTTCGCAATTATTTGAATTTCTTCATATTTTTTTAATCTTTGCTTATTTTGCTATGCAATTCAATTATTATTAATTAAAACATACAAAATTACAAGATTTGAACAAAAAATATTTCAATTATTATCATTAATTTATTATTTTTCATCTGTAAACAAATATTTCTTCCCAATTAACAACTGAAATTTATAATTTCCCAAGGAATTTCAATATTGATTTTTTTATTCAATTTTTCAATTTTCAATTTTTGTAATTAACATTACAACATAATAATTACATATATTTGTCATCTTTTGATTAAATAATTATTTGAATTTGTTCATATTTTTCAAATCTTTGCTTATTTTGTTTTGTAATTCAATATTATTCATTACAAATACAAGACATTCTAAAATGTATACCAAAATTGCAATATTATTACTAAAATAATATATCAATTTTTCATCTGTAAACATTTTTTTTCTTCCCAATTAAAAAATTAAATTTATAATTTCATTAATTAGATTTTTTTCATATTTTTCAAATCTTTTCTTATTTTATAATGCAATTCAATTATTATCAATTAGAAACAGAAAAAGAAACAAGATTTAAAAAATAATATTCAAAAATATTTCTATTAATATCAATAATGCATCTGTTTCAAATAAAATAAAATTTCATCATTTAGATTTTTTTTGTTTTTTCTCAATTTGCTTTTATTATTTCCATATCAAAATGATTAAAAAAAATTTCACTACGAATAAATTTTCTAAAATTTCTTAAAAAAAACTTCAATTTGCACCTTTTTTCTTCTTCTCCACTTAATTAGGTAGCAAATTCGTATTGATTTGTACGTTCAATGAATGAAGGTTAAGTTATAAATATGTATGAATTGTTACATTAACATTATAAAACTAAACTTTCTACACGTATGTTTTCATAAACATACATTTATAGAAATGAATTATTTACTACAAATTATTTAATATCCAATTAACTTAGAATCATTTCTCAATTCTACTTTAATTAAATAGTTTCAAAAATTCTCAAATAAAATTAGATTTTCTATAGATTTCATAACTTATTTTTAAAAAAAATATTATCAAAATTGAGTTTATTATCAAAAATTGATGATTTTATAAATTGAAACATTCTCAAAGATTTAGTAAAGTTGTCACAAAATACTAATGTTTCTATACTACAAATAATTCAATTAGCATATAGCGACATAATTCTATATTAAAATTAAAATTAAATTATTCTTATATCAAGAGATACACAAATTCTTTTTCTATTTTGGTGAAGTTAACAAAACTATTTTTTTACTTAAACATAATGTTGACATTTGAACTAATCTATTTTTTTCTTTAATTATGAATTGATTTCTCCAAAAAATTAACAACTTTTAATGTTTTATAAAAACTTACGAAAATTTTTTTGAGAAAAGTCAAAGAACTTTTACTAACTGCAATATACAAAAAATCTCAGTTAAATCTCTTCTTCGAAAACAGTAAAAACAAGGAAAAGAAACAACAACACATCTTAAGTACAAACCACTCAATTATAAGACGATAAGCTTCATTGTTTCAGAGAAAACAGTTTTATTATACAATTTTTTATTGTTGTTGTGTTATGTAATCAGATGGAAACTGTTTATTATAATATTGAAAATGACATCGTCTTCCGTTTCGTTGATTCAGATAAACTCTCATAACAGTGAACAAATGTTAACGTTTATTGTCACCTGTTCTGCAACAATTTAAAAATTCCAAAACTCAAAGCAACAACAGAAAAAAAATTATATTTATAATAATAAACCAGTTGATTTTGTAACGATAATTTTGTCCCATCATGTTTTATGATTCTGATGCAATATTTGCGGTTTATTCGCCACGAAAAAAAGGAATGTAACTGGTTTATTATTATAATGGATTTATTTACTTACATTTTTTTTATAATGCGTTTTTTAACCCTTGAAGTCGTTTTTATTCATATATTAAATTGATATTAACAATAATAAAGTAGTTTTATTTATATCACCATAAAATTACATGAATAATCATAAAGACAAATGTATGAAATTATTAATAAACTTATTCAAACTATATAAATTTACAACTTATTATCGAAAAATTTAAGTTACAATTTATTAAAAATTATTTTAGACTTTTAAAAAATTGTTACAAAAATACAAATAGACTTTTTTAACCCTTGAAGTCGTTTTTATTCATATATTAAATTGATATTAACAATAATAAAGTAATATTATTTTTATGACCATAAAATTACATGAATAATCATAAAGACAAAAGTATAAAATTTTTAATAAACTTATTCAAATTATACAAATTTACAACTTATTATCGAAAAATTTCAGTTGTATTTTGTTAAAAATTATTGTAGATTTTTAAAAAATTGTCACAAAAATACAAATAATTTCATGTTAGTTGCATTTAAATTAACACATTAATTTAGCTATTATATAAATAACCTAAATATGACAAGTTTTATACGTGTTGTAGTATTTAATGTCAACTTAGCGTTCTATTTAATTAACACATTGTGACTAGGATTTTGTTACTTACTTATGGACGCAGCAACAAAGAAATTTATGATAATGCGTACATTGGCTTTGGTAAACAACTTTCTACGCACTTCCACTCACCTTTTACAAACCGGAACTTTAGTAATATTTCTTCTCATTACGTTTTAATTACATAAAGTTCAGATTAAGTAACCTTTATATTGTTACTTATATTCTTCTATTTTGTTTTAAGCTATGTTTAGTAAGGGGTGCAACCAGTAAATCGAACATACAAATTATACAAAGGTTCCAATCAAAATGCCTAAGAAATATTATTAGGGCTCCATGATTCATCAGGAATAAACAAATACACGAAGATCTTCATATAGATATGGTCGAGGATACAATAGCAACATTTAGTAGTAGATCCCAAGATAAACTGGAGTCACTTACTAATTAATGTTCTGGCTATTGGCTTACTCGACAACAGTGAAACCACAAACAGGCTGAAGCGTTGCAAACCATTAGATTTAGTATATAGATTTATGTAATTATCAATGTTCATAATCATCATAATGGTAACTATCCACCAGGAAAGATTATCCATCTATTATCAACCGCGATCTTAAATTTACTCAATGTTCACATTGATAAACAGATTGTGAATAAAATTATACGACATAAAAAAATGTTTAGTAAGAATACTTTAACTTTTGATTATCAGTTCTAAAGTAAACTAAATCAACACTTTTCCAACTTTTGTCAGATTGCCATGAAATTTTGACAAGCTTCGTCTAAAGGTTGGTATTTCGATATGTCATCATACGAACTTATTCAGTTAGGTGTTATAATCTATTCGTTTTTTATAAATTTTCTACATTTTATTTTTCTTTCGATTATTTTTAAGTAATAAAAATATATTTGTTTTCTTTTTAATATTTATAAATTTTGATGATCAATTATTATAAAAAAAAAATGGGAGATTATTGGAACATTACCTTATATGGTTAAAATATTGTAGATTGTCTACGTCACAAAGAATCAGCGGTTCTCAAAAGTCAAGCTTAATCCTTATATGGTCATGAAAACAAGTGTTTTGTGAGTTTTGAACACCTGCTGAATCGATGAGTCATCTTCAAATGCGACGTTCAAGCGTTAAAATGCACACCTGCATAATCAATAACAAAAATCACCTGATATTGTTACGAAAACGCCCGAACTACGACACGACAAAGTGACGAACATTCGCAGTGATGACTCAACTGCACCTGCGAATCTCAAACGTTTTGCACATTTGTATAATCGTTAACAAAAATCACCTGATATAGGTACGAAAATGCCCGATCTACGACACGACAAAGTGACGAATCTAAGTAGAAATGAGTCAACTGCACCTGCGAATCTCAAACATTTTGCACACCTGTATAATCGATAACAAAAATCACCTGATATTGTTACGAAAATGCCCGATCTACGACACGACAAATCGACGAATCTACGCAGCGATGAGTCAGCTGCACCTTCGATTCTCTAACGTTTTACACTCTTGCTCAACTAGACACAACAAGACTCTTGAAGAGCCGCATGCGGCTCGCGAGCCACAGTTTGTCCACTCCTGATCTATAACAAAAATCATCTGATATAGTTACGAAAATTCCCGATCTACGACAAGACAAATTGATGAGTCAACTAATCCTGCGATTCTCAAATAATCACTTTATATGGTTACAGAAACACCAGATCTACGAGACAATGAAGACAATAATTTAATTATTTCAAATATTAATAAAAGTTCGTAAACTTACAATGAAAATTGTTGAAAAACTAAACATTTTTCTCTTGGTTTTTAACAAGTATTGTCAAATTTCAAACATTCATTACATAAAATCCACAAAATGTATAATTACAAAACTATAGTTATTCAAATCCACATAATTTCAGTGTTAATATAATAATGTAAAATGTTAATACAAGTTTATTGTTTTTCTAAAAAATGTTTAAAAGTAAACACATTTTTCTCTTGATTTTTTGCAAGTATTGTCAAATTTCAAACATTCATTACATAAAATCCACAAAACGTATAATTACAAAACTGTAGTTATTCAAATCCACATAATTTCAGTATTAATATGATTGTGTAAAATGTTAATACATGTTTATTGTTTTTCTAAAAAATGTTGAAAAGTAAACACATTTTTCTCTTGATTTTTTACAAGTATTATCAAATTTCAAACATTCATTACATAAAATCCACAAAACGTATAATTATATAAGTATAGTCATTCAAATCTTTGTAATTTCAGTATAAATATGGTTATATCAAATGTTAATATACGTTTATTGTTTTTCTAAAAAAATGTTGAAAAACTAAACACATTTCTCTTTTGGTTTTTAACAAGTATTGTCAAATTTCAAACATTCATTAGATAAAATCCACAAACCATATAATTATAAAAGTTTAGTTATTGAAATCTACATCATTTCAATTATTATTACGATTATATAAATCAATCCAATTTAATCACGAAAAATTGTGCGTTTTGTTTGAAATTTACTAAAAAAATAAATTATTTGAGTAGTTTTTTTACGGAAACACCCGATCTTTGGGTCGAGATGAATCCGTTACAATCATTAAATGAGCACGAAAACGCCCGAAAATGAGTGCGTTTTGTACCACTGCAACCAAATAATCATATTATTTGCTTACGAAAACACCCGATCTATGACACGATAATTTAAGAAGACTACCCACATTTTCACGGAAACACCCGACCTTTGCGTATCGATCAATCCGTTACAATCCTTATATGGGCACGAAAACGCCCGATCAACGTCATAATGAATTAGCTGGTAAAACGTTAAATCAATATTTTTAAATGCACAAAAAATAGAACATATTATAAAGAAAACTAAAGAATAATAATTTAGAAAAAAGAACTGTAAATTATTAATAAATTATAATTTGATTCGGCATCATTAAATTAATGAATTATTATAATTATTGTTAATGAATATTTCATTTGAATTTTTTTTGCAAGTAATTTATTGGTTTAAATCAAGTGAAAACTTTGTAACAGAAAAAAAAACTGTCAATAATAAATTACAATTTAAATCACAAATCGATTCTGCTTATGGAAAATTGAGGCGTTCTCAATACTCTCCATTGAATAACGGAAGAAATTGACCTTTGGCATAAATCAATACATATTTGGTGGTGAATTTCATGAATAATAATAGAAAACAGATTTTGTTTAATCATGTAAATTTACATCCATTAATTTTTGGTTTGGATCAAAAACTTATTATTTTTTTGATTGTTTATTTGCAGAGAAATTCATCAGCGGAAAATTGGTGATGGCTTTAATGGCAATCCTCTTAGTAATCAAGTTGATCAGCGTTAAATTCATGTTCTTCCTCCCTATGGTCATGGGAGTTGCAGCCGCCAAGAAACTGTTACTCAAAGTTCTGCTCTTCCTCTTCCCAGTATTAGGACACTTGTTCAAGCTGTGTCCATACTATTCACCAACGAAATTCCATCATCATCATCACCAAATATCGCATCTTCATCATCTTCCGCACGGACCGAGTCTTCACGGAGGAATCGAACTTGACCATCCGCCACCAGGTTGGGAGGAGAAGCATCAACATCAATCTGAAGATTTCGGTTACTATAGCGACGGCGCTTCGTTCGGCCCAGAGTGAGTAATATGAATAAACAAAAAAAGAAAGAAATGGTTGACCCATTGACCTGGAACCGCGAAAAACGTACAAATATTTTCGTCGTAGGTGCGAAGTTAGAAAGTGTTTAAAAAAAGTAATGTATTTTGTTTGCAGTTTCTCGACGCACAGGAAGGACTACGATGTGAACAAACCGCACGAGGATGCGGGTCAAGGTCACTACGGTGGTCCAGGTCATCGGGGTCAGATAAGACCGCAGCCGCCTTCGATTCAGGGTAAACAGAAAGCTGGACCGTTGACACCCACCGAAATCGAAAACATGGTGCTCAAAGCCGAAAAAGAAGCTATGGTAAGTGTTCGAGAATTCAGTACAACTCTCTTCTCTTTCTTTCATTTCTTTCACTATCTTTCTCTTAAGACGCAGAAGAGAAAGTAAACTCAAAGGGAATCGAATTGTTTTCGATGAAACGTCGAAGTCGATGGAAAAATTTCGGTTTCCAAAAAGTCTTCACGAAACTTTCCAATTACAAAAAAAAAATCGAAACAAAGTTGACACCAATCTTTTCCTCATTAATATCAATCGAATTATTTAAGGAAATCATTTACAAAATACAGAAATAAATGGATTTATTGAAATTACTAAATCAAAATGAAAATTTTATAACGATTTTTGATAAAGTACAAAAATTACTTGAATTTATTTGTTAAATACTAAATTTGCATTAACTTCCAATTGAAACTATGTTACTTATATGCAAGATGTTCAATTTCTTTAATTAGCAGCAATTAGACTTAATATTTCAATAAATTATTCATACTTTCCAATTTACTAATCTTATAGAGTTGATATAATTATTTTATAGAAAACTATAGTTTGAATCACAAAATTAAGATAAACTTATTCAAATTTAAAATATAAAGAACAAAATTTACTTGATATAATTCATTTTTTGCATACATTTTCAAGCAAAAAGACTTTGTTTAAAATCAATCAATGAATTTTATAGTTATTATATTTTCTAAATTATAATTTAATTACTTTTTTTTTATTTGAAGTATCGAAAAAAAAAAACCTGAAAGTCATTAATAAATCTCTTGTAACTGTAAAATTTCATTACTTTTGGCATGGATATAATTAATTGTAATTCGGAGATTCACGCGAGTTTCGCACTTAATGAGTGCATGTTCCGAAAAATCTTGAGTTGACTTTCTAAAATCTTGAGTTGCTTCGTGTCCATTAGCAAAAATTCACGACACGATTTCCTTATAAATTAACATTCACATTAATAATACGAAAAAATGTGGAAGCAAATTTGATTTGTGCGATATTATCGAAAAGGTCAAATATGGGTTTAATTATTAGTGACATTATGTTAATTACAGATAAATTTGACCTAAAAATGATGATTTATTTAAATTTCGTAGATTTGTTAATTAGGTTTTTGAATATAAAATAATCAATTATTTATATAAAAAAATCCAAATTAAGACGAAAACATGAGTAAATTATACACAAATTAATTAACTTTTATATTATGTAAATCATTTTAAAAGTTTATAAATTGAAATATTCCTATAAAAACATATATAGAAAATGCATTTTAAATTAAAAAATATGTATTTCTTTTGTTTTTATTTTATAATTAGCATTTTATAATTTCATGATTTTTGTTTATTATTTAGAAATGCTTCAATTTTATTGAAAATTCAGTACTTTTTCATAACTTTTTCAATGAATATTTTGTTTCCTTAGAAATTGCTAAAAAAAATTCAAATTTTTCTTGTTCCTTTTTGATTTATTTCCATTGAAATATTTTCAATTTTATTGTAACTAACGTTTTATAATTTCACAGTTTATGAATTTTTCATTATTTTGAAATGTTTAAAATTTATGAAAAATCATAAATTCTGAACTTATTTTCATAAATTTTCAAAGATTTTGTAAATAGAATTTTACAAAATTACGATAATTTTCTTAAGAAATTTATAAAATACATTCAATTTCTTATTGTTTCTTTCTTGTTGTTGTTCTTGTAATTGTTGATAATGTTCAAATTTTTATGGTTTTTGCTGAAACTTCTGAAATTATGATCATTTTTATTGAAATATTTTCAAAATTATAATGAATTATTTCGTTTCCTTTGAAGATATACAAAAAATATTTTTTTATTATTATTATTGTATTTTTTGGATGCAAATGGAAAGCAGGATATTTTTATAATCGAATTTCTTTACGAATCGGATCAAGTTTGCGAATTCGTCTGACGATTCGGAACGGATTCATCGAACGAGGAAGGAAGGAGAATGTAAATGTATACGAAGCCGGCAAGAAAGCGGTTGTCTCTAACCTACATATTTTTCTAATACGAATTATTTATTCAAATCCATCCTTCCTCCGCGTTTTCTCGCCTTCAGAAGAATGTGCGAAAGAAAGAGTAAATACACTTAACTCCCATATACAACCAATGCAAATAACGCGCGCAATTCAAATATTAACAGAAAAAAAAACCATTGAAATCATGAGCTCTTCGAAACGTTCTTTGTCTGAACAGCTATTTACTCATCTCTGCTTTGCACCGATATTAAAATCATTAACGAACGATTTTCGAATTCCGGCCGCGTCCCAAGACCGCAACTAGTTCAGATTCCGCGAAGCATTTTCTAGTACGTATTCAAACATTTAAAACAATCAAAACTTAGTGTTTCTTTATTTAATTAAAAATATTCATTTTCATTAGAAATTGATTATTAATTTATTTATCAATTAACTAATTAATAGAATATCTTTAGGAAATGTATACTTTAGTATAAAATTACATGAAAATTACAAATAAATTTAATTAGTAAACTTAATATAATTAAACTAAGTGCAAAATGAAAAAACGTGCGTTTCTATTTTATTAAATGTATGTCTTCTTCGTTTACTTTTTTTTTGTATTCGTAATTGCTTTATGTCATATGAATGTGTGGCATAAAAAAAACTAGTAAACGGTTTCGCATGTCTTCGTCGTTATTGAATGCAATTTTCTTCTATTAAGTCGTTATGTGGCGTCAAATGCGTGCGGTTCTTACGTGCAACATTTAACCCTAAACTCATTCATTACTATTTCCATCCATTTGGAACACGCACGCCTTCGATTTGTGTTGTCACGTCCATTTGCCATTTCAATACTCACGTTTCAAAACCAGGTCTACGATCAGTTTATTATTATTTTCCCATTGTTCCACTAACTACATTTAACAGTCATCAATTGGCATCTGCACAATGATCTTCTCTGCATAATGATGCATAAACTTATTATGTAATTATGTCTCATTATTCAACAAATTACAGTTTAAATTGATGATAGATTATCTTTAAATTGAAACGATTATTACTGTAAAAAATCTTAATACAAACAACGATTATAATTATTGGATTATTTACAAATTAAAGCTAATATTACTAAAAAATCTTAACATAAAATCATTCATACAAAAATGGATATTATTGATTATATAATCAACTATTTATCTCATAATTATAGGATTATCTGCAAATTAAAACAAATGATACTAAATATTTTAAACTTTGGCAATTATCAGGTAGTACCAAGTAGTGTCAAGTAATAGTAAGGAGTATCAAGGAGTAGGAAGTAGTATCAATTAGTATCAAGTAGTAGCAAGTAGTATCAAGTAGTAGCAAGTAGTATCAAGGAGTAGGAAGTAGTATCAAATGGTATCAAGTAGTAGCAAGTTGTATTTAGGAGTATCATGTAGGATCAAGTATTATCAAGTAGTATCAAGGAGTAGGAAGTAGTATCATATAGTATCAAGTAGTAGCAAGTTGTATTAAGGAGTATCAAGTAGTATCAAGTAGTATCAAGTAGCATCAAGTAGCATCAAGTATCATCAAGTAGCATCAAGTAGCATCAAGTAGTATCAAGTAATATTAAGTAATATCAAGTAGTTTGAAGTAGTAAGTAATAAGGAGTATCAAGTAGTAGCAAGGAGTATCAATTTTTTACTAAAAAAATCTTAAGCAACTTTGAAGCAATTATTACTATTAAATCTTCCTACAAAAATGGATATTATTGATTACATAATCAACTATTAATCTCATAATTATCTGCAAATTAAAACAAATGTTACTAAATATTTTAAACTTTGGCAATTATCAAGTAGTACCAAGTACTGTCCAGTAGTAGTAAGAAGTATCAAGGAGTATGAAGTAGTATCAAGTAGTGTCAAGTAGTATCAAAGTAATAAGGATTAGCAAGTAGTAGTAAGATTAAGTAGAATAAAGGATTATCTAAAAATTAAAGCAAATGTTACTAAAAATGTTAATATAAAAACAGCAGCAATTTATTTATATAATACTATAATAGATTATCTTTTGAACTGAAGCAATTATTACCATAACATCTTGATACAAAAATAGATATTATTGAGTACATAATCTAGTATTAATCTCATAATTATTGGATTATCTACAAATGATATCAAATTTTGCTAAAAAATCTTAAGCAAATTTGAAGCAATTATTACAATAAAATCTTAATACACAAATGGATATTATTGATTACATAATCAACTATTAGTCTCATATTTATAGGATTATATACAATTTAAACTTGATTTATTATTTAAATTCTTAATATTCTATATTTAATTATCTTAATGTTTTTCCAATGATTTCGTAAGTTTTTGGAGAAAATAAAATAAAAATATTTAGAAATAAATTTGATTATTTTTATAATAAAAATTATAAAAAGAAACAAATTTTATATTGAAATTAAAAGTAATTACATTAAATTTTCTTATAATTATTAATTTACAATAATTTATTAATAAATAATGGAAGAAAATATTAATTTCCTAATTAAAACAACAAAAAATTTCCCATTAATTAATGGATTGAAAGAAAAATTAAAATTACATTTTTAGTCGGATTCCAGTTTGTTAATTAATTGATAATACGTTAGTTATATATTACAAAAAATGAAAATTTTCTTTAAAAAAATCATCATTAGGAAAGTAATAAAAGTTGAGTAAAAACAACAAAATTTCATTTGTTTTATAAGTATATACTTGTTTGTTTCTTATATTCTATTATAAAGAAAAGTGTTTGACTTAACAAGGTATAAAATAATAGTAGAAACTCAATGAAACCTTATTGGGGTTCTTTCAATGTCCTAAGCGACTTTCAAGCTATTACATAACTAAGCAAAAAGGTGTTGGAAAAGTGATTTCTCTTCTTTCTTTCCATATACAAAAAAAATCCATATATAAATTAGATAAAAAACGATTAATTAAGTAAAGTTAATAGAATTTTTTCTATAATTTGGATTTTATTTAATATTTCCAATAATTTAAAAAAAGTATGTAGATAATGTTAATTTTCTTAATTTAATAGTTTATGAAACAATACATAAAATTGTATATTAAATTCATAAAATTGCCTGATAATCTATAAAGTAGATTTTCTAATACAATTTGTAATAGGTTTTATAACAAATTTTGTGTTTTTTTTTTGCAGTTGAAGGCTCGTCTTCAGGATGAACAGAAACGTGTTGAATCGGAGAACAAGAAGCTGCAGGATCAGATCAAAAACGCGATGAAGTTGCAGGAGAAACTCAAGATCCAATCGATCGTTGCAAAACAATCGTCGAAGATCGCAGTGGCCACAGCCAACTACCAAAATCCAAACATGATTCACCCACAAATTGTGCAACCACACATCGTGCACGCAGTTCCAGCCTCGCATATGCATCAACAAAATTCATATCTACCACAACCTATGCTTCAGGTAAAATTACATAAACATTACTTATTATCATGATTTTTAATTCGAAATTAGTTTTGTTTGAAAAGATGTTACAACTGTTGTTTTTTGTATGAATTCAATACTAATTTCTCAATTTAAGTAGTTCAACTCTCTTTAAGTTTTTAATAATTAAAGAATGTAGAAGATAATTATAGTACAAATTCAAGTTCAAGACTAATTTAAAGACGTTGTAGCTTGAAGCGTAAATTAATGTTTATTTACAACGTTATTTTTACGCTTCAACGAATCTTTCGTCTTTCACGCAGGAATCCAGAGAGATCAACTTACTTTCACTTTGATACAACTTTTTTTTATTTGAAATTAAATATAGGAACCAAATATAAATTAATTAAAAAAAAATTCATTTCATTAAAAATGTATGCATTTTTAGTACATTTATTTACTAAATTTACAAGAAATTAACAATTGGTTTAGTAATTATGTTTAGAAAACGCTTTATACAAAATGAAACGTTTTTCTTTCATTTTTCAGTAAAATTAGTAACTAAATTTGGAGGTAATTAATAAGGAACTTAGTAACACAATTTGGAAATTGTTTACTAACTAAATTTGGAAGTTACTAACTATAAATTAATAACAATATTTAGGTATAAAAATTGATTTGTTTTTAGTCTATTTCATAATAATTAGTAACTAAATTTATAAATGACTGAAAAATATTATAATAGCTAATTTTAAACTATAATTAACTAGGAATTTTGCTAATATTTTTGGTATAAATTGTAAATGATTTTACAGTCTATACCACAAGGACAAATGTATCAAACTCAGATGAACGATGTACATAGGACACAACCCATAAATAGTCCAGTTTATCAGGCTCCGATTCCACCAAAACCGGTATTCGATGCGTTCTACAGTCCAATTTTGGAGAAGATAGACAAAGTTTTGATTGAGTTAGGATTCCACGACGAGGCTTGCAGGGAAAGATTGGTCTGCAGCATGTACAAAAATCCATCCAAATTTAGTCCACACAGCAATTTGATCAGCGCTGAATTAAGCAGGTAAAGTAACAAATTTATTTATCTTTAAGTTAAGAAATTTAACAAATTAGTTAAATTATTTATAATTTTATTGACTAGTTTATTTTAATTGAAACATTGATAAATGTTTGACAATTATCAAGTAGTGCCATGTAGTGTCAAGTAGTATCATGTAGTAGTAAAGAGTAGCAAGTAGTATCAAATAGTATCAAGTAGTTGCAAGGAGTATCAAGTAGAATCCAGTAGTAGTAAGTAGTATCAAATAGTATCAAGTATTATTCAGTATTATCAAGTAGTATTAAGTACAATAAAGTAGTATATATAAAATGTGTATTTGTGACTATCATCTGATCTCAAATAATTGCACTCTTTATGTAATTTAAACTTGTAAACAAGTACTTGTAAAGTAATGCGAAATTGATAAATGTTTGTCAATTATCAAGTAGTACCAAGTAGTGTCAAGTACTATCATGTAGTAGTAAAGAATAGCAAGTAGTATCAAATAGTATCAAGTAGTTGCATGGAGTATCAAGTAGTATCATGTAGTATCAAAGAATAGCAAGTAGTGTCAAGTAGTATCAAATAGTATCAAGTAGTAGTAAGAAGTATCAAATAGTATCAAGTATTAGTCAGTATCATCAAGTAGTATTAAGTACAATAAAGTAGTATATATAAAATGTGTATTTGTGACTATCATAGCTGATCTCAAATACTTGCACTTTTTATGTAATTTAAGTACTTGTAAACAAGTACTTGTAAAGTATTGCGAAAAAACGTGATAATCTCAGAATAATGAAAAATGGTAATAATTGTGATAAAAATATTTTGCTTTAATTTTATTAAAAATATAGAAATTTTTAATAATTTTTTTTAATGATTTATGATGAATATTTTTTTAAATAAAACAAGTATAAAAGTTGGCCAAATCAGATAGAAATAAAATTGAAGAAGTGAAATTGATAAGCAAATAAACAAAATTGCGGAGAAGAAGTGAAACTGCTCAGCTAATTTTTTGTACAAATCTTTAAACATCAAGAAACGAATAATTTCTCTAAGTTTTTTACGATCTGTGTCGTTCCATTTTATGCGGATGGATTTTATTACTGAATCTGGGACACAAATATTAATTTCATAACGAGATGAAACAACAAAAGATTCAATTTTGTGTGGGTATTCCCATTTTAACTGGTATTTCCTTACATTTTCAATATCTTATAATTATTTTTCAATTTTTAATTAGTTAAAATTAACTGACGAATATTTTGTAACAGATTTCAACTTAAATTAGGTCATCTTATTATAATCTAGTAAAACTAGTTTTACTTATAGCATATGCTATTATATTAGACAGTAGGTGTTAAAAAACAGAAAAAATACACAACTTTTTATTTATCTTTATTTTTTCTTAGACTTCTTCAAATATATTCTTAGTGAATAAGTAATGATTTGTGTATTTCTTTAAAGCGTGAGAAGGCTCAGTTACATAAAAACAACGTGCAATATTGATGTTAAACAAATTATAAAGGAATTTAGACTAATTTGAAACGTTTCACTCGTTAATTATAAGTTGTCATAAAAGAAACGTTACTATTTTATTTCATCGCCATTTTATTAATATTGAGGTTATGTTTATTGTTATTTAACATTTATATAACAGAAACTACCAAAATGTATTTACTTATTATGATATCAATTATTTGAGAAAATTTAATAAAAAAATTACGAGAAATTTGTTTGCAAATAAAGCTACTTTACTGCGATCAATCAAATATTTATACAGGTTTTTAGTTTATTGCTGCAAATTTCAATAGAAAGGTTTGTGCAAACAATTCAAGCAGCTGAAGCGTGACATTCACCAAGAAATAGCACAAGATTTAAGTAAAAATTACTAAAACAACTTCAAAAATATTTACAAGTTTTTTAATGAAAAAATTCTCATTAAATTATTTTTGATAATGTTACAATTTTTTAATTTTATTTTGTTAATTTTAATTCTATTTAAAGAAATAATGAAGTTTGTGTTATTATTTAATTAACTCGGTGCAAAAGGAAATTTCTCTTTGGATTTTAACGATTTGTTTGTCTGCTTGCAAAGCATGAAAATGTTCACATAAAACTACAAACAACAAACAAAAACTACAGCAAAAAAACGGACATCTAAATCATATGGTTCAGTTCACACTAAATACACTTTTCTAGTTGAATATTTACTGAATAGTGACAGAAAAGAAAAAAATAATTTTTATAAAATTGCAATAACAAATTTTACTGTTTTCTTTAATACTTTATATAATAAACACGAATTGTTAGCTTTTAATTATAATTAAACATGTAGATTTATTATTATTATTCGAAAACAGTTATAAGTACACAAAATTTATTATTTGATTACAGTTATATTATATTATTCTTTGGAATCTAAAGTATACTAAAAAATACAGGTTTTTTTAAAATAATTTAACAAACAATTAACGTTTTGTATTATTTTATTTCATTCATGAAGTACACTTTAGAACTTTATGACTAGAAATCTGCGTTTAGCTAAAATTACCAATACTTACCAGTAATAAATCTAATTAATATAATTACATAATTACCATATAGAAATTTTCTTAATTTTCAATTAAACTAATTGCAAAACTGAGTTTTTTCTTTGCACAATTAAAATTTGTAATTATATGGGGTGATTTTTTTACATTTTAAAGTTTGCTATAGTTTTCTTTGACATTTGACAATTTACTATAGTCTTTTTTTGACATTACTAAGTATATGGAGTGATTTTTTGACATTTGATAGTTTGCTATTGTTTTTTTTACATTTGAAAGTTTGTATAGTTTTTTTTGACATTTGACAGTTTACTATAGTCTTATTTTGACATTGCTAAGTATATGGAGTGATGACATTTGACAGTTTGGTATTGTTTTTTTTGACATTTGACAGTTTCTATAGTTTTTATTTTGACATTTGACAGTTACGCAATTTGCTTAATTAATTGTATTTAAATGGTTTATTAGTAAATTTGGATATATTAATGAGTAGAATTATTGTTCATTAAATGTTAATGTTGAAGAAAATTGAGGAGAATTATATCAATTTTTATATAATAATTATATAGTGTTTTTTGACATTTGACAGTTTTCTATAGTTTTATTTTGACAATTGATAGTTTACTATAGTTTTTTGACATTTGACAGTTTATGATAGTTACGCAATTTGTTTAATTAATTGTATTTAAATGGTTTATAATTATTCATTAGTAAATTTCGATATATTAATGAGTAGAATTATTGTTCATTAAATGTTAATGTTGAAGAATATTGAGGAGAATTATATCAATTTATATATAATAATTATTTTGAGTGTTTGTTTTTGACATTTGACAGTTTTCAATAGTTAAGCAATGTTTGTCATGAATATTATTTGAATGGAAAAATATTGGTCATTGCTTTAGTAAGAAATTATTAACTTTTAATACAAAAATTTGAAGAAAATTGAAGAATTTGTAATTATAATGAGTGTTTTTTTTTTGACATTTGACAGTTTTCAATAGTAAAGTTTGTCATGACAACTATTTTAATGGGAAATTATTGTGCATTGCTTCACTTACAAATTAATAATTTTTAATACAAAAAATTGAAGAAAACTGATGAGAATTATGATAATTTTCATATAGTCAAAATTGTAATTGTAATGATTATTTTTTGATAATTTACTATAATAGTTAAACAATGTTTGTTATGAATATGATTTGAATGGGAGATATACATTGACGACTGTTATTTAATCAATGAAAGTTCAAGTGATTTTAAATGGTTGAAAAACATTAAACAGTAAGGAAATAATAAAATTGAATGATTGAATTGTAAAAAAAAAGATTATGTAAATAATTGAATTGAATGAATGCCCATTTATGGTGATCAATTCGATGCGTCCATCCGTTTTCCGTACGAGCCGTGACGTACCGTACCGTAAGAAAGAAAGAACAACACTTCTGCTCTTTTCCTTTTGTAATTAAATAGGTCATGTTACCATGTCAAATATTGCTCGTACGGTAATCGTGTGTGCATGTGCGACCATAAACTATTTGGAATTCTTTCTCATCCTTCTCATCAACATTGTTTAATCATAAATCTTACCTTTTCTAAGAAACCGCATTCATCTCTAATAGCCTCTTGACCTGCACCAAACCGAATCTGAGATTTAGCATCGCAATCAAGAGATTATTTCTGCCCCAAAAACATAATACTAAGCTGGATTTATTACACGATAAGATCATAAAAGCTTAGTATGAAACAAAAGAGAAATTAGTTTATGAATGAACGGTCATTAAACTTGCATTAACTTAATTGTAATTAAAGTGACATTAATATTTAAGCCAAAAAAATTCATACGAAAATTTGTGTAATAACGAAATAATATTAAAAAAAAAGGATTTTTCTTGTAATTTTTGAAATATTTTATTGTTAATTTAATAACTAATCAAGAAAATTTTATTTTTATATATTTTTAAGATATTATTAAATCAAAATTGTTAAGGAAATTTTTATTGTCATAAAATTAATAATTTTACAACTTTTTATATTGAATCTTCACAAAATTAACCAAATTTTTGAAGAATATACAATAAATCATAGAAACAGGTAAAATTGTTATATACGTCATGATTTCTTATATAATTTTACATTTATTCATGAAATTAACAATTTTACAACTTTCCACGTTAAATTCTTACAAAATTTACTAGACTTTGAAGAAAAGACAGGAAAATATAAAATTAACAATTCTACAACATTTTACGTTGAATTTATACATAACTAATTAAATTTTGAAGAATATACAAAAAAATAAGAACTGATAGAATTATAATATTACATAATGATTTCTAATACGATTTTACAATTATTCACATAAGATTTTTCAACTTCTCAAAAAAATTACAAAATGAACAATATTTTGAAAAATATTCAATAAATCATAAAAACAGGTAAAATACGTCATGATTTCTTATATAATTTTACAATTATTCACATGAAATTAACAATTTACAACTTTCCAAGTTGAATTTTTACAAAAATTAACCAGATTTTGAAGAAAAGTCAGAAAAATATAAAATTAATAATTCTACAACTTCTACAATCTGAATTTATACAAAACTAATCAAATTTTATAGAAAATACAAAAAATAAGAACTGATAGAATTATAATATTACATCATGATTTATAATACAATTTTACAATTATTCATATAAAATTTTACAACTTTTCACAAAAATTTTACAAAATTAACTATATTTTGAAAAATATACAATAAATCATAAAAACAGGAAAAATTGTTATAAGACATCATGATTTCTTATATAATTTTACAATTATTCACATGAAATTAACAATTTTACAACTTTCCACATTGAATTCTTACAAAATTAACCAGATTTTGAAGAAAAGACAGGAAAATATAAAATTAACAATTTTACAACTTTTTACGTTGAATTTAAACAAAACTAATCAAATTTTGAAGAAAATTAAAAAAAAAATAAAAACTGATAGAATTTATTACATCATGATTTCTAATACAATTTTACAATTATTCATATAAAATTTTACAACTTTTCACAAAATATTTACAAAATTATCTATATTTTGAAAAATATACAATAAATCATAAAAACAGGTAAAATTGTTATAATACATCATGATTTCTTATATAATTTTACAATTATTCACATGAAATTAACAATTTTACAACTTTCCACTTTGAATTTTTACAAAATTATCTAGATTTTGAAGAAAAGACAAGAAAATATAAAATTAACAATTCTACAACATTTTACGTTGAATTTATACAAAAGTAATCCAATTTTAAAGAAAATACAAAACAAAAATAATTTTACAATTATTCACATAAAATTTTATAAAATAAACCAGATTTTGAAAAAAATACAAAAAAAATAAATGTAATCAATTATATGTATGACTAATTTGTAAGTGAAATACAGATGATAATAGTATTAAGACTACTTTCTTCAATGATTGTTTTATATAAGAAAGCCATTTAAACTCATACATTTTAGAAAGTCAGGCGCGGTAATCTTGTTTAACAAATCACTACAGAAAATGTAAATTTTCTTTAATGCACTGCAGTCTTTGACCTCAGCGAAAATGGTTGTAAAATGTTGTTGTTTTTTATTACAATTTTTACTACGCCATTAATATTTGATTCATTATTATGTTAATTATGTAATAAACGTTAATTTAACTTATTGCAGATAATAAACTCATTGTAATATAAATACGTTTTATGACAATATTGATGTGTATATTCTTAGGAAATTTTAATTAAATTTGATAGAATACTTTGATGTAATTTCATAATGATTTCTTATGTTTTTTTTTATAAAAATTTGATTTATATATAATTTAAAAAAAAAATAACTTTTCATGTAGAAATTTTACAAAATTAACTAGATTTTGATGATTTCTTATATGAATTTCAAATATTTACATTGTATTTTTATAAAATGAACTAAATTTGGAATAAAGTACACTAAAATATAAACAATCTTATGTAATTTTACAAAAATTCATATAAAATGAACAATTTTGAATAAAAATTTATAAATTTTTCATGATTCACATAAACAATTTTACAAAATTAACCAAATTTTTAAGAAAATACAGGAAAATATAAAAAATAAAAAATAATTTTATTACATCATGATTCTTATAAGATTTCTTAATTATTCAAATTTGACAGTTTGGTGATTATTGTTCATTAATGAATTTGGATAAATTAACCAGTAATATTGATATTTTTGTTCAAAATTAAACAGATTTTGTTGATTTCTTATATGAATTTACAGTTACTCAAATATTTACGTTGCATTTTTACAAAACGAACTATATTTTGAAGTTAATACATGAAAATATCAATTATATATAATTATTATATTACATCATGATTTCTTATATGATTTTCCAATTATTCACATAAATTTTTAACAATTATAATACTTTTCACGTTAAATATCTACAAAATTAACAACAGTTTTAAGACAAAAATTGAAAAATATAAAATTTATTTAATTGTTATATTACATCATGGTTCTTATTAGCAATTTTTGTATCTATTTCAATATTAATATGCTCTTTATTAATGAAATTCTTTTATATTTTAGGGAAGCAAGTGAACTACAAAAACCAACGTCTAGTAATTCCGCAGTGATCAGGTTTTACAAGTACGTCCAAGCAGCAAGGGATGGACAGGATAAACGAGATTGTATGAGGCTGTATCCAACATGTGCGATAGTCACAGAGTGATAAGAAGGAAGGAATATAGCTCAATAATGAAAGGAAGAACAAGAGAATTCAGGATTTCAGGAGAAACCAACCAAAAGTCATTATTTATTCAATGCTCTTCACTCACATCTCTCCATTCAAACTTCTCAAATTTCCTTTTCTACTATTTATTTATTTATTGACCAGAATTTTGGTACTGTATACTTAAACACTCTTGATTTAAAGATCTAAATTCAGTTTGAAAACTTTTCAAAAAATCATGTAAAATTTTTATTGAAAAAAAATTTTTTTTTTCTTATCTAACATTTACTTATTCTTTCACTCATCACTAAATAAATTGAAATTGTAGACATTTCACCTCTTCACATAAATAAGTAGACTCAAAATGAAAGAATTCAATTTTTTTGTTACAATATAAATTTCAATATTTCATTGATTTCTTCACATAATACTTGTAGATTCAACAATTATCAAGTTTGAAACTGTTTAGATCTGTTTCTTTCGAAGTGTGAGTAAGTTTAAGTAATTTAGTGTATAAATAAGCGACTTACTTAAGTGAGTTTAATTATTTGTTTGTGTATTTATTTATTACTTAATTTATTTATTTATTTCTGTAATTATTAAGTTATTTATTTTAATTTATAATAGTAGGAATGTTAGAGAAACCTTCGGTTTTCTTCTATTTAAGATAAAATCATTCATCAAAGCTCTTCTACCTATGTAAATGCCAATTTGAAAGAAAAAACAGAAACTTTTCATATTCACAAATTTCTCAAGTCTTTTGAGAAAAAGCTACGATTTCTTATATAAAAGTTATATAAATATCAATTTAAAAATTTTAGTCTTCTCTATTCGCAAATTTATCAAGATTTTTATGAAAAAAGCTACGATTTCTTATATAAAAAATATTAACAAAAATAAACCAAAAAGTAAAATAACATCTTTCTATTCTCACTAAAAGTACTTATGTTTCTTTGCTCTTTCCATTAGATTTTAATGAAATAGTCTTAGGTATTTGAAACATAGTCACTAATTATTAGAGAACATCGCTCAACAATGTTTTTGATTATTTTTTTTTGTATGTGTATTAATTTATAATAATTATTATTTATTTAATGTTTACGTTTGTTTTGTGTTCTTTTGCAGCCGCCCGAATCCGGTGGCGTTTGAGTTTTTTCTAGTTATTTTATGTTTAATGAAGTCAGGTAAAAATCTAATAATTTTTACCTGAATTTTACGTTTAATACAATTAAAAAAAGAAATATATAGAAAGAAAGATAAAAAATTGTGTATAAAAATATGCATTTCGTAGGTTTTGTCTAATTGGCATTAAGTATATTAGTTGTAGCTTTTTTTTAGTTGTTTAGTTTTGTTATTGCAATATTTGTGTGTACTTTTTTTGTTTTGTCTCATTTCTTTGTTTATTTTAATTCTAAGCTCGAATAATTATTTATTTATTTATTATTTATTTGTACATGATATTGTTTTTCTTTTTTTTGTGTACGTGTGTAGAAAATAAAAAAAAGTTTGTGATATAATTGAAAAATTTACTTGATTTTTATTACGTGTTAATTTGTGTGTGTTTCTTTTATAATTTTTATCTTATTTTTATAGTAATTCAAAAAATTACTTTGAAAGAAATCAAGAAACAACAAAAAAAAACTATTTTTTTCACTAAATTTGTGCTTTTTTATAATATTAATGTTATTTTTATAGTAATTAGAGAAATTGCATTGAAATAAATTAAATAATTAACGATCAAAGAAAGTTATGAATTTTTCTAAATAAAACAACAAATAAGTTAATATTTTTTACTATAAGTAAATGTATTTCAAGAGTTCACAAATAATTGAATATTTCTAATAAATATTTCTTCATCACTTTTATATTAAAAATTTCTTAACAAATTAAATAATAAAATTTTTCAAGAATTTGTAGATTATTTACATTTATTTCAATTTCATTGAATTATATATATGAAAATTGTAATGAAGACATGATGAAAATATTAAATTATGACTTGGTTTCACGTGATTTGATGTTCGAATTGGTGAAAGTCACAATTGTCAATTCAGTCTACATATTTTGCATTTTCATTGATGACTTTTAAGTAGTAGAGATTTATTGTTTGTTTTGTCTGCATATTAAAACATTGTTCAGATTTTTTTTTGTAAATTAAATTTATCAATTTGATTTTTATCAATTTTCTCAATAACTATACAAGACACAATTATGAATAAGTATGCAAATTAAAGCTAAATGTTTAGGCTTTCCAAAGTGTCATCTGTCATATTTGCAATTATTGTTTATTTCCTGTAATTTACGGTCAAAGTTTAAGTTTATTTCAGTCTCGGAAAATCGAGTGTTTTCACAAATCATCAATTTCCTCAATAACTATAAATGACACAATTATGAATGAACATGCAAATGAAAGCTAAATATTTAGGCTTTAAAAAGTGTCATTTGACATATTTATAACTATTGCTGATTTCCTGTAATTTACGGTCAAAGTTTAAAATACGTTTATTTAAGTCTCGGAAAATAGAATGTGTTCACAAATCATCAATTTTCTCAATAACTATAAATGACACAATTATGAATGAATACACAAATTAAAACTAAATGTTTAGGCTTTCCAAAGTTCCATCTGTTATATTTGTAAATATTGTTGATTTCCGGTAATTTACGGTCAAATTTGAAAATACGTTTATTTAAGCCTCGGAAAATCGAGTGTCTTCACAAATCATCATTTTACTCCATAACTATACACGAGACAATTAAAAAATGTGTTTAAATGTTATAAATTCTTAAAAATATACAAAATGTAATATTGTACATTCATTATAATTGAAAATTAATTGAATAGGTTTTCAAAAAAATAATTAATTAATTAAAATTATTGATATTTTTGTTATTACTTAATTAAATAGAGAATCTATTAAATGTATTAATCATACAAAATTTAAATAATTGTCAATAGATGGCGAAAGTTGACCAAAAACTAACAGTGCAGCTCATAGAAATTATTCTTTGGAATTTTCAATTCCAATTTTACTTGTAGTAATACGAATGAATGAATGAATTAAAACAGTTATATTTTTAATTAAAATCAAAGTTTTCAATGATAATTTATGAAAATCTTTCATAAACTAAATTTTAATTTTAAAATCATAGTTTTCAATATTTTTTTTATAAACTAACTAAAATTATTATTTTCGATACAAAAACATATATATTTTTATTTTTTTTACTATAAACTCAGAAATATTAAGGAGAATGAACAGTTCAATTTTTATATAATTTACTACAAATTTACTAAGTAATAACAGTAAATTAAAAGAAATTTGAGTTTATTTTAATTTTACTTAAACAAAACCATTTTTTTTAATAATATTTTCATCTACAAGAAAATTGCAATAAATTCAAAATCAATGCAAATTCTAAATAATATTTCATAAAAAAAAACATTATATTATATAATAAAACTATATTTATAATTCAATATTCAAATAAGAAATTATTGCTTTTCTTTGAAACAAATAAGGAATGTTTAAATGGACGATCATGTTCTAAATTTGGTGAATTATAAGTAAGTTATTGGATCAAATACTGTTTATGGTTACACAATAAATTCCATTCGATTTCATTGTCATGTTACAATAATTTACAATTTAAATTGTGTTAATGTTAATAAGCTTTATTAAAACTTCCATTTTTTTTCTGTAATAACTTTTCAACTATTCTTTTTTGAAGTTAATGTTAAATAATTGTAGTTGAAACGTGATAATATAGGTAAAAGCGTAGCTGTAAAGTCAAATTCTTTATACTTGATTAAAGAAGCTTCATTAATATTGATTTTTATTCCGGGCGACGCAGCCAAATTGGAAAGCCAGAATCAACAGACGAGACAGTTCGTATATTATTACATTTGGGCTATTTATAATTTTCATACGTGAATAGTTTCGAAAAGCGAAATTTGAAATGTTAAGAAATGCAAAGAAAATTAATTCTTTTCTAATCATTACAAAAATTATTACAGTTTTCAAATTTGGTATTATTTATGTTAAAATTTTAAAGTTTTCTTCAGTTTTTGTATTAGAAAATGAGTTAAAAATCAAATTTTAATAAAATTGTATACTTTTTTACAAAACAATTTTATACTAAGGTAAAATATTTATTGGAAAATGAGTTAGAAATCACTTTTTTAATAAAACTGTCAGCTTTTTTCAAGAAAATATAAATTTTTGAAATATTTGATTAATATCAAGTATTTTCAAACTATGTGAATAGTTTTGAAAAGCGAAATTTGAAATGCACATAAAATGAATTGTTTTCTAACCATTACAAAAATCCTTACAGTTTTCAAATTTGATGTTATTTATGTACAAAGATCTAAAAAAAGTAAACTTTTCTTCAGTGTTTATATAATGAAATTATCAATTTTTAAATTAAGGTAAAATATGTATTGGAAAATGAGTTACAAATCACTTTTTTAATAAAATTGTATGCTTTTTTCCAGAAAATATAAATTTTTAATGTTATATTTAATTGAAAATGGAAATATTTGATTAATTTCAAAGTTTTCAATGATAATTTATAAAAATGTTATATTTTCATTTGTGAATAGTTTTGAAAAACGAAATTTGAAATGCAAAGAAAATTAATAATTTTCTAACTATTACAAAACTCCTTACAGTTTTCAAATTTGGTGTTATTTATGTACAAAGATGTAAAAAAGTAAACTTTTCTTCAGTGTTTATATAACGAAATTATCAATTTTTATACTAAGGTATCATATGTATTAGAAAATGAGTTACAAATCAATTTTAATAAAATTATATGCTTTTTTTATAAAATATAAATTATTAATGCTATATTTATTTAAATTTGATTTTTTTTTTATTAATTTCAAAGTTTTCAATGATAATTTATGAAAATGTTATATTTTCATATGTTAATAGTTTTGAAAAATGAAATTTTAAATGCAAAGAAAAATTAATGGTTTTCTAAGCATTACAAAAATCCTTACAGTTTTCAAATTTGGAATTATTTATGTACAAAGATGTAAAAAAAGAAACTTTTCTTCAGTGTTTATATAATGAAATTATCAATTTTTATACTAATATAAAATGTGTATTGGAAAATGAGTTAAAAATCAAATTTGTATAAAATTGTATATTTTTTTACAAAACAATTTTATACTAAGGTAAAATATGTATTGGAAAATGAGTTAGAAATTATTTTTTTTTATAAAATTGTATGCTTTTTTCCAGAAAATATAAATTTTTAATATAATATTTATTTAAATTTGGAAATATTTGATAAATATCAAGAGTTTTCAATGATAATTTATGAAAATGTTATATTTTGCAAATTGATCTTAATTTGATATACAAATTATCAAATTTTGTATCATTATGAATGATTTTTTAGAAATAATTAGTTGTGATTAATTAAAATTCACTTATTTATAGATAATTTGCTTATATTTATGTATTTATGAACGAATATAGTTATGTTTATTTTCATTAAATTGAATTTATACATACTATTAAGTTTCTAGCTATGAAATAAAACAGTTTCAGTATTGTGAACAAAAGATCTTAAAAATTAAACTTTTTTTTTCAGTTTATTGAAATATGATTTTTTTACAGTAATTATAATTTTTTTAATATTAATTTGATTTGAATATGGAAATCTCAGTAATTGTCAGTAATTATTTTTCTAATATCTTTTTCTAAACTAAATTTTAATTTGATATTTATAGTTTTTCCATAATATTATTTATAATTTTCTATAAATTTTTGACAGAAATATAATTTAGCCATAATTTCTTATTTTTCTTACAATAAACACAGAAAAAAAAACAACTGCAATTATCATCAAAAAGAGAAAAACTATACATAATAAGAAATTGATTACATAAACATCAGAAAATTAAGAAATATAAGACTTTTAGCAAATGCAATAATTATATAAATTAGAGTAAATAATAATTGACAATAATCATTCAAATTTCGGTAAATAAATGTGATTTATAGAAATAAATAATGTTGAAAAATAATGCTTTTAATATAATAATTAAAAGTTTATAATTGAAAGGAATGAAGATATGAAAATTTTTGGTTTAATTGAAAAGAAAATGTAAATTATTTATTAGTATTTTAGAGATATTTCTTAAACGTTTTATCTCTATTCTATTTATTTAAAAATGTGTTAAATTTTCTTAATTTTTATCAATTTCTTCAAAGAAATTTCATTTTATGTATTTTTAGTTAATACTTACTATTTGATATAAACATTATGTAATTTTAAGAATTTATTATGCATAATTTTGAAATAATAGTTTGGTATTATTAACATCTTAATTATAATTTGAGTAGAATAAAAATACTCTAATTCATTAAAAATTTCCTCGTATTTCATTATTTATGAATGAATGTGCTTATAATAAACATAGATTCACATTAATTAACATTCATTATCTTGATATCAAAATAGTAGTAAATCTCTATTTCTGATTAAAGTCGTTAAAATTGCTTTGAAAGAAACAGTGAAATAAAGTGTTGAGGTATAATAGCTTTAGTTTGAATAATTGAGGTGTATGACTTTGTGAACAAAAGTGAAAATGGTAACGAGGCATTTCGTGCTTCAATACTCGAATCACTTGATCCATCAAAATCTTCAATGAAAGAATGTTAAAGTTAACGAAACCGAAGAGATTTCTTATCATCCATCGTTGGATATATGGATTTAGGTCTCTCATACGAAAAATAATACCGAAACGTTGGAGGAACGAAAGAACCGTCGTATACGTTTCGTATACGTTCGATGACCATTCGCGTCACGTCCAACCCCAATAAACGCATTTGGTTTCTATTTCCGTTTGCTGGACATATATAAAACGGCCGCACCGCACCGTAATTATCATTATCAATCAACACTTCCAATTGTAAAGACATACAATTCAACAACAATACAATGGCCAGCTTCAAAGTTGTTGTGTTCGCTTGCTTCTTGGGCATCGCCCTTGCACAGGGCCCATCAGCCGTCGACGTTGCCCAGGACGTCTACAACAGCTGCTTGAAGGGTTTCTCAGTGGGCTGTGTTAAACCGAAGGCATTAGCCTGGATGAGCGCCGTCGCCGACGACCAAGTGATCAGGATCACCGACGATCTCCTCATCGTCAGGAAGAACAACCCAGAATACACCCAGGTAAATACGCAATCATCCTGCAGGATTAACAACAATGTTGACTAAATAATTCTTTGGATTAGGAACAACGTGGATCCGCTGACGTTTTCGACAAATTCGAGGATTTCATCCAGAACCACGAGTTGGTTGCTAAAGTACCAGAAGTGTTGCGCGCCGATGGTCCATTAGGAAGCTTGGTCCCAAGGTCATTCCAACCTGAAGATTTATCAGTCCCATTGGCCTCCACTGGTACTTAATCAAAATCATCTTCATCATCAAATATTAATGGTTTATTATCACGCAGGTCGCTCCAAGGTTGTCAAGAAGGTCATCGTCCCATTCTTGCTCGGTTTGAAGTTCAAAACCGCCGTCTTGGTTCCTCTCGCTTTGGCTCTGATCGCCCTCAAGACATGGAAGGCTCTTACCTTGGGTCTCCTCTCCATGGTCCTCACCGCCGCCATGGTCATCTTCAAGTTCACCAAGCCAAAGGTTCGTATTCCATCATCATCATCACCATAATCATCTTAATCATTGTTCATCTTCAAGGTTGTCAACTACGAAGTCATCCACTACCCACACCACGTTGACCACCACTTCGACCATCACGTCGATCACCACGTCGACCATCCAGCTGTGACCACCGGATGGGATCACGCCAGCTACGGTAGAGCCATGTCCGCTCAAGAGATCGCCTACAAAGCCCAACTGAACCAATAAGAACCTCTTCTTCAACATCTCGCAAAAACCAAATTCCGACCTAGCCCGTCTTGTTGATTGTTAATGTTATTATTTTTTTTTGTATTTATTATTTATTGAATAAATGAGTTGAATTTTATTTATGCCTATTCACTGCATCAAATCTACAAATTACAAAACTATTGGAAAAAAAACATCCAACATCAAATATTCCTTAATTCCAATCAATCCTATTGAATATGAAACAAATAAAGTATGTTTCTTATAAGAAACAAAACTTTATTTATACATAAAACAAAGTGTAATAAGATTAATGAATAAAAATTATTATTCATGATCAATTTTTAGTCTTCATTTCAAAGATTTATAATTTTAGAAATAAATTTTTAAATCTTTTTTTCATAAATGATATAAATTTCATTTATTATATATCAAAAATTGTATTTTTTTTCAGATTATTAGTATTTACATTGAATAAGATATGATTCTTTCAGTTTTTTGTGCTGAATTTACTACTAGTTTTCAATTCTTATTTCATAGATTATATAAATCATTTCAGCTTCAGTATAATAATCTTCATTTTATTTAAAAATTTAGTAACATTCACAAACTTTAGATTATTGATGTAGATGAAACTCTTTAAATTCATGTTTCAATATACTTAATTTTTTGCTAATTTCTTAGAAAAATCATATAGAAAATAAATTTAATTTAATGAAAAATTTAATGGAACATCAATTTTCTACTATTTTGTTTTCTTCTTTCATAATACTAATTTGAACCTAAAATTGATTGATTTTCTATTATTTGTATATAAATAAAACAATAATTACTTCTATTTTCTAAAATTTTCAATTATTTATCAAAGTAGATCAAGATCCACTTTTTTTTCTTACTGAAATTACTTAATTTTATATATTGATGTATTAAAATTTATAATTATTATATTTATTTGAATTGTTTTAACTGAATATTAGGTGAATTAAAAAGTTCTGAGCCTCTTTTTCTCTTTATTTCTACGATGAAATTAACAAAGTTAGAATTTTCGTATTTAGATCAAATATGCGTCGTTTTGTTGTATAACTTTTGTACATTTTGACGGCAATTTCATAAATCCACGATTAATGAAGTCCTCGTCGCAATTGGTAAAAAACTTGACCAGCTCATTTTTGCGAGCCTCTCTTGAGGCCATTTTTTATCATCAAGAAAACCCATCCGAGCTTTCGGAGCTTCTGGCGCGTCTTTAAAGTGGTGTACGACCAGGCAATGTCTTGATGGAATATAACACCCTTCCTATTGACCAATTCTGGACGCTTCTCGTCAAGAGTCTTCTTCGATCTGGTCAATTGTTGACAGTATAAGTCCGAATTGAGTGTTTTGCCAATCCCACACACAACAAAATCTTCTTGGTCGATTGTTTTGGCGGGCTCACCGCGGTTGGACTACGATCTTTTTTGCCGTTTTTTCTCGTTGTGACCCATTTTTCATCACCAGTAATAAACCGCTTCAAAAATGGGTCGTTTTTGTTACGTTTCAGCAAAGAATCGCAGGCATCAATTTGCTAATTTCGACGATTGGCCTAACAGAGCATGTCTCATCTTCGACGTCCATATTACCAGAACAGAAGCATTGGAACCAACACTTTGCTGTTGCATTCGATACTGTATTGGGTCCATAAACAACACATATTTTTTTTCCTTGGTCGTATTAGTGCAAAAGAATGTATCGAATTTTCTCTTTTTTTACGTCCATTTTGGAATACTCTAACATACAACTGGATTCACTAAATACAAAACTGTCAAAGAACTTTTTTAAAGCGTTATTTCGCCTTTAAGTCAGAGTATAGAATGATAAGATGCAATGTATACATCGTGAGATATGTAACTGTTTAGCTCAGAACTTTTTACTTCACCTATTATTAATTTAAGTTATTAGACAAATTATAATTACTTTGTTATATTAATAGTTAAGAAATAAATAAGAAAAAGTTTGAAAAACTTATTTCTTTTCTAATATCACAATAAATATTAAATGAAGAAACACAAATTGACCTAATAAATTTAACAAAACACAATTTTCATTAGTTAATAAATGATTATAAAGTGTATTCTAAAACATCTGATTTGTACACAGCTGATTTTGAATGGACGATGAATATTTATGAATTTAAAGGTACGAGTAATTATAACGTAAGTTTCGTGTATCATGAAAGGAAACAGGAACTAACGACAAAAAAAACTGTCAACGAAAACGGTTTCTGTGCAACCAGCGCACGAATCCGGACATTGGATAAACGTGAAAGCGCCCAAAAACCATTTTTGAATACTGACGTCAAACGTTAGAAAACATTGAACACATCAATTAAATTTACTAATTAGAAATTATTCATATTTTATCTTTGTTATATAATCGAATTTGTATTGATAAATAGACTAAAAGTTAAGAAACAGATATTTATAAGAAGAAAACAAAAAGGTTTCAATTACAAATTGTTTGTTATGAAACTGCAAACAAATTGTTATGTAATAAAATTAGAATCAAATACAAGAAAACTTAAGCTAAAATATTTATGAATTGGATTTTAAAAGTACTAAGTATCTTATTAAATATCTTAATAATTCTAATCGAAAATTATGATTGTTTCTTATATCTTCAAATTTAATAATTTAGTTGACATGTAATAAAATTATTAAATAAAAATTAATAATTGTTAAATAAATCATCAATTGTAAACTTGCTGAAAACTTACAGTAATTTCAGTACAAAAAAACGTGATTTCTTCATTCTTTCTGAATTAAAAACTTAAGATTTATAAGCAAAATAGCTTGGAAACTACAGCATTTAGAAACCATTTATATCATTCATGAAGAAATTTTAGCAATTGCTAAATAACTCACCAATTGTAAACTTGCTGAAAACTTACAGTAATTTCAGTACAAAAAAAACGTGATTTCTTTATTTTATTGAATGGAAATACAAATATTCTTTTATTTTACCTTTTTTTAAGTTAATATTGAATACATTTAGAATGTATTTATATCAATCATGAAGAAAGTTTAGGAATTGCTAAATAATTCATCAATTGTAAACTTGCTGAAAACTTACAGTAATTTCAGTACAAAAACACGTGATTTCTTCATTTTATTGAATGGAAATACAAATATTCTTTTATTTTACCTTCTTTTAAGTTAATATTGAATACATTTAGAATATATTTATATCATTCATGAAGAAAGTTTAATAATTGCTAAATAATTCATCAATTGTAAACTTGCTGAAAACTTACAGTAATTTCAGTACAAAAAAACGTAATTTCTTCATTTTATTGAATGGAAATACAAATATTCTTTTATTTTACCTTCTTTCAAGTTAACATTGAATACATTTGAAATGTATTTATATCAAATATGAAGAAAGTTTAATAATTGCTAAATAATTCATCAATTGAAAACTTGCTGAAAACTTACAGTAATTTCAGTACAAAATAAAGGGTGTCCCAAAATTAACGCAAGATTTGAATTTTCCGCCTTTTGTGCAGTAAAGTGTTAGCAAAAACTCACAATCTGAAGACTAAAAACTGTGTTTTCTATTTAATTCAAATCTTGCGTTAATTTTGGGACACCCTTTACATAATTTCTTCATTTCATTGAATGGAAATACGATTGTATAGAATATTGTAGAAAGAAATTAGGAGAGATAACTTAAGCTAAAATATTTCTGAATTAGATTTCAAAAGTACTACGAATCTTACTAAATATCTTAATAATAATAATTGAAAAATATGATTGTTTCTTAAATCTTCAGATTTAATAATTTAGTTGACACGTAATAAAATTATTGATTAGATATTAGTAAACATATATAGTTTCTGAATTAAAAACTTAACTATATTGTAGAAAGAAATTAGGAGATAATGGAATGGAAAGTTTAGTGTAAAAAAAATGAACTATTAACTTTAAGTTCTCAAAGAAAGAGTAAAAATAAGTACGATATTCAATAGACTAAAGGAAATGCATGTTATTTCTTCGACACTGTACGTCTGTAATGTTTCTTTCTTTCTCTTCTCTTCTTTCATTCTTCCTTGGGCGTCAAAAGTGTGGTAGATACGTGTGCGCGCATAACTTAGGCGAGGGAATGTGGCCGAACGCGAAACTGTATATACTTATAATATTAGAAAATTTGGATCAAATAAATTAAAAAACACACAGAGAAATAAAAAAAAACAGACAATGGAATGAAAAGCAACAGGATCCTAAATAGCTTACGATCGTCCTGAATATCAATCGACCGTCCTTAATCTTGGACTTGAACGATTTGGTATTCTGTTCAAGCATCGGGTTTCTGTATTGGCTTTGGGCCGGACTTCCGATCGGGATCGAATAAATACTCGGTGCTGGTACCGTTTGGTCATCAGTTGTGCATCGTCCATTCATACAACAACAACAACAACAACAGCAGCAACAACAGCAATTGCAGCAATGGCTTCAGTGAAACTTTGCATCCTCTTCGCTTTGGTGGCCGCAGCCGTGGCTTCACCAGCTGTTGTCGACTCGTTGGAACAGGCTAGGGCCATGTGCAGCGATGATGAACCATTGGCTTGTCTGAAGTACAGGGCCATGTCCTTCTTGGACAACATCCTCAAGCAAGACAACTACAAAGTAAGAAGCAGTGATTCGCCAAAGTATTTTCAAGGATTACAACTAAACTTTAAACTTAAATTCGCAGCTCTCCGAAGATGTCGAGATCACCAGGAACGGCCGCTCCAACGAAATCACCAGCAGAGGCAGCAGCTCTTTGGAAGAATCCGTCGAGAACTACATCCAAAGCCACGACGTCACCTTCAACCTTCCAATCGTCGGCAGCTCAGTCACCTTGGGAGCCAGGAACTTGGACAACGATGAGGTCGACCTTAAGATGAAATTCTCCGGAGTCGAAGAAGCCCGCAAATCCAAGTTGAAGAAGATCTTCATCCCCATCCTCGTCTTCGTCCTCCTGAAGGCCATCACTCTGATCCCACTCGCCATCGGTGTCCTTGGATTGAAGGCATGGAACGCCCTCCAACTGTCTTTCTTCTCTTTCATCGTCTCTGTATCATTGGCCGTGTTCCAATTGTGCAAGAAGATCGCCGCAGACAACGCTCATCCACAGATCGCCGCTCACAACCCGTGGGAGGCTCAGTACGCCGCCAGATCCATTGACGATGCTGCCCAAGACATGGCTTACAACGCTTACAGGCAGTAAACTTCGCTACCTCTGATCGACTATCATCGACTGTGAAACGCTTACATCGACCCAACCTCTTGTTGTTATTTATTACGTTACACACTATTATTTATTATTAAAATAAAGTTGTTTTTGCAAAATTAATTACACAATCCTATCATTTCTCAACACTCATCTTCAAACACACCAAAAATTGTCATATCTCAATCACTAATTAAGACTATTTAACAGTTCTTAAAGACCCATATTTATATAATTATAAAATATATAAAAAAAAGTTTAATAGTTTTACAATTAATAGAAAAAAAAATAAAATTAAAAAACTTAATAAAATCGCCACATCTCAGTCAATAATTACGATTACTCAAAAGTTCTTATATCAAAAGAAGCGTAATTGAAGACTTATAGTTATGCAATTATAAAATATATAAAAAGTTTGATAATTTTACAATTAATAGAAAAAAATTTAAAATTGAAAAACTTATAACAAACTTAATAAAATCGCCACATTTCAGTCAAAAATTAAGATTATTCAACAGTTCTTATATCAAAAGAAGCGTAGTTGAGGATATATTTTTACGCTATTATAAAATATAAAAAAAGTTTTATCATTTTACAATTAATATTCTTATGCAATTATAAAATATATAAAAAGTTTGATAATTTTACAATTAATAGAAATAAATTGAAAATTGAAAAACAAACAAACTTAATAAAATCACCACATCTCAGTCAATGATTAAGATTAATCAACAGTGCTTATATCAAAAGAAGCGTAGTTTAAGTTCTATTCTTGCGCTATTATAAAATATATAAAAAGTTTGATAATTTTACAATTAATAGAAAAAAAATTGAAAATTGAAAAACTTAATAAAATCGCCACATCTCAGTCAATAATTAACATTAATCAACATTTCTTATATTAAAAGAAGCACAATTGAAGATTTATTCTTATACAATTATAAAATATATAAAAAGTTTGATAGTTTATCAGTTAATTAATAAAATTGCCATATTTTTATCATTAACTAATACTAGACAACAATTATTATATCAAAATATGCACAACTGAAAACACCTTTTGATATAATAACATTAGTTTAAAAGAATTTATTTTAATACAAAAAAATTATAATTATTAAAAGGCCATAGTTTTATTTATAAATAGCTTATAGAATGATCACATTAGAATCATTTGTTATCGAGTAATTCGATAAAACGTGAGAACATTACATTTTCAATTTTGATACCAGTAAATGAAACAAATTTTTGCAGTAGGCTCAATGCGAAAAATAATGACAGTTCTAATCTTTAATTTGCATATTTTGCAATACAATTATTGTACTAACAATTAAAAAGAAATAAGTTAACAAAAAAAATATATAAAATTGATATGTCTCAAGTAATAATTACATTACTTTCAAATTTGACAATTTTTCTTTTGGAAATGGAAAAATCTCATAAATATATTGATTATTTTAATAAGTCAACATTTCTTCCTCAATAATTAAATTAAATATAAATTTTTAATCACAAATATTGTTACTCAAGTTTGACAATTAACTGCAGCAAAACCATTATATCCACAATATTCCTAATATCATTGAAATGATAATTACTTCTTCTTTAATATTCATTTTAGATGATCTAATTACCATGTGTAATCAAGTAATCAATCAGTTATCAAGTAATTAAATAATACGTGAAGGCATGACAAACAAATCGTATATTAATTTCTCATTCATTAATTAACGCTACCTAATAAATATTAAAGCAAAAAATGCATATTAAGAAAACTACTTATAATGAAATTAAAGACGTATTGGTAATTACCTGTTTTAATCAATATGTTTTAATTAAATAATTAGCGAAAATAAATGCATTATTCATATAATTACTCAAGTTTGACAGTTGATTAAAGAAGAATGACAATAGCCACAAATCTGAAAGTAGGCTTTTTGGAAAGAGATTACTTTTGCTTTTAATTTGTATGTTGAATGATGTAATTAGTATACGTGGTTATTGAGTAATTAAATAATACATAAAGACATATAAAATAATAAAAGTTTTTTTTTGTATCTTCTAAAAATTGTTAGTTTTTAATTGATATTTAGTATTAATTTCAAAATTTTTATATCAAAATATTTAAATTGTTTTGACATATTGACATTTTTCACCATTTATTTAACTAAAATACTGAAATGAATGGTGCAAAAAAAAATGTATAATTTATTTAACTAATCAAGTTTAACAGTTGATTATAGAAGAACAACAATAGCCACAAATCTTGTTGTAGGCTTTTTAGAAAGATATTACTTTTTCCTTTAATGTGTATGTTGAATGATGTAATTAGTATACGTGGTTATCGAGTAATTAAATAAAACATAAAGACATTAAAATAAAGTTATTTCTATGAAAATAATTACCAATTAAAGATATATTGGTATATAATTATCAATAATAGAATCGATATATTTTAATGAAATAAATTGTAAAAAAAAATGCATTTTTCATTTAATTACTCAAGTTTGACAGTTGATTATAGAAGAATAATAATGTCAACAAATCTGACAATGAGCTTATTAGAAAGATGGTACTTTTTCCTTTAATTTACATCTTTCATAATGTAATTGGAATGCGTGGTTATCGAGTAATTAAATATAATGTATAGACATCATAAAATTATAAAAGTTATTAATTTTTAGTCATCAATTAACTTAAAAAATTGTAAATTAATAAAAATATAAATATTCTAATGATTTTCGTTTGAATAATATTATTAAGTTGTAATAAAATGAACTATTTAATTGTAATTATTCCAGCAATGGAAAATCTAAACCGAATTTCCTTTTATTTTCCTTCATCAAGTTCGTGCGCGCTGCATTCGATGTAGTTTTCCAGTTCAGTTTTTCCAATTAGTATGTTGGAAATATGGCGAAACACGTGCATTCATTAGAATATCATTTTGTTATCATAGAAAAGACGAACCGGAACAGACGGATTCCGAAACGACGAACGCAAAAGCCGCACTTTCGATTTCCGTTCAAATAAATACTGCGACCGTCCGATGCGAAACCATCATTCACCATTCAACCGTCCAACAACAACATCAACAACAAAATGTCACCGATCAAAGTATTAGCAACTTTGGTGCTCTTCGTAGCCATCAGCTGCGCATCTCCAATCCAAGAAACCAACACCATCGAGGACACCTTAGCTCATTACATCCAAAACCAAGAGATCAACTTCGACCTTCCAGCTGTGGGATCTGCAGTATCTTTATCAGCGAGGAATTTAGACGATGATGAAGTTGATGTTAAAGTGAAACTTTCAACTGGAGCTGAAGGTAAATTTTCCAAAAAACGAAATTTTAATCAAAAACTAACATTTAATACAAATTACAGCTCGCAAATCATCAAAATTGAAGAAAATCTTCGCTCCAATTCTCATCTTGGTCATCCTGAAAGCCATAACTTTGATCCCTCTGGCTTTGGGACTGCTCAGTTTGAAGACGTGGAACGCTTTACAATTGGCTTTCGTCACGTTCATCATCTCGATTTCGTTGGGAGTTTACGAGCTCTGCAAGAAGATCGCAGCTGATCACGTTCCACCAGTCATCACTCATTCTGCACCGTGGAGGAGCAGGTCCATGGATGATGATGAAGAGGAGGAAGCACAGAAGATGGCTTACTCAGCTTACGCTAATTGACTGAATCGATGAAAATATAACATTATTTATTTATTTATTAAATTTATTTGAATAGTTTTTATCAAATAAAATACAATTTATTTATTGCAAATAATTTTTTTTATTGAAAGTCTACAAACTCCTTAAGATAATTCCACAATTATACGATTGTCTAGAATAATTAGTTAAGATTTTTAGAATTTTGTCACAATTTTATTGTTTTTTTTACACAAAAATCCAATCAAATTCAATTGATTTGTTGCACACTAATACATTCTTTAAGATAATTTAAAAATTGTCGAACATAAATAATTATTTAGGAACGAGAACCTAATTATTCTAAAAACGAAACGTTAGTTAATTAAACTAATTATAAGTATGTTTTATTTTAAATTTTACACAAATCTATACTTAATTTATATAGTTTACATAAATTGGAGCAAAGTAGAATAATTCAGCAAATATTGTAGTTAAAATTTGGATAAATTCCAAAGATTTTTTTGTGAAATGAAAAAGTTATAATATTTATCCTTTTCCATTTTACAAAAAAATCTTTGGAACTTATCCAAATTTTAACTAAGCTGCAATAAATACTATAAAAAATATCATTATAAATACATTAATTTACACGTATTTGCTTTGATTATATAGAAATCAAAGAAATAATTTAAATTTACGCGCGAATTTAATAAAAATACTCCAGACATGGCAATAATGTGAGCACTTTATTTTTGCTGATATTTTGAATAAATTATTGTTTTTATCTTTCCGTCTAGACCGAATTTCGATACACATCTTTTTCTACGTTTTTATTACTACGTTTCATTCAGTGTTTGCTTATTTTCATTCATCTTTTTCGTGCGTATTTCCGAAAGCACTTTTTTTGCTGCATTCCTTTAGGCGCCACGAAAATAGTAGTTTTTGTATTAATTTATTCTACTATTCAATGAATGAATGCACGCATTTATTTCATTCATATTAATCTGCATTTTTCATTACATAACATACATTTTTTAATCAATATAATTAATGTATAATTATTAATTATTATCTTGAATAAAATTTCATTTCAAATATTTGTTTTTTTTTATAAAGGGTGACCCAAAATTAACGCAAGATTTGAATTTGCCGCCCTTTGTGCAATAAAGTGTCAAATTGTTTTTTTGGGGTTTCCAACGCCAATTCAAATCTTGCGTTAATTTTGGGACACCCTTTATAATTTGTGAAAATATGGACTAATTACATAAGAAAAAAATGCTGTAATTTTGATAGTAATTTTTCTGGAATATTCACTAATTAGTATATAAAATTACTAAATTGAACATTGACTTTAACTCATATGAAAAATTAGTGTAAATTCGTAATTAATTATATTATTTTATTGATATTAAAATTTTCATTTCATACATCTAGTTTTTTTATATAATTAAATTTTTTTCATTGAAAATGTAATGAAATTGATTGATTTTCTTTGACAAATAATTGATTCTTCTTTGAAATAAATGAAAATCAATCAAATCAAATCATAAATGAAATTAATGATAAAAAGAAAACGTAATTAAATTACAAATTTTTTAAAATATTTTTCATTAGTTCAGAGAAATTTACTATAAATCTTGTTTTTTACATAATAGTTTCACCTTTTATATCAGAATGCAGAAATTTACTCGCATAGTGCGGATAATTGGAATATACCGGACTGTTTGAAACAAGACTAAATACATAGCAAAATAAAATAAGCTTAATTAATGAAGTATAAAGAACAAAAAATGATCATTTTTGTATCAAAATATAATTTTCTGTTCTATTAAATCCGGACTGATTGAAGCCGGACTATGCGAAGTTTTTACATATTTATCTTCATTAAAATAACGACCTTTCATGTAAAAAAAAACTTTAGAATTTACAAAAATGTATACAATTCAATTTAAAATTAATGATAGAAAAGCATAGACAATATTAATTTTATAAATATTGTTCCCAACTTTGATATGAAAAAATCACAACACAATACTATAGAAAAGTAACTGCTTTAAAATTAACAAATTTTTTAAGAAAACTTTAATGAAATTATATGAAAACTCTCAATTTTTACATTAATTTTCATAAATGTTTCACAAAATTTGACACAAAACTTAATCACGATGAATTCTTTATAAAAATGTTCATTATCAATAAAATAACTATAGTTCAGGTACAAAAACTTTCGATTTTATATAAATTTTTATCTTAACTTTGTGAAAACTTTATACAATTCAATTTTATATTTAGAGAAAGTGAATGAAAATCCTAATTGATTTCTTCTTTGAAAGTACGTAAATTATTCGATGCAAAGGAAAAAAATTGAATACAATCAATTAAATATTTTTAGGTACAAAAAAATGTGTTTGTTCTAATAACGTAAAGTAAAACCGCATTGTTCGAATCCGAATTGAAATATTTACACTTGTCCCAAATAGCCCAGACTGCACGAAATCAAAAGTAGTGTGTGTTCGTACGCAGAATAAAATATATTTCCTTCCTATTCCAACGCAAAGCGGCGCTTCGAATTTAAAAAAAAAAAAAACAATCCGATTCGGAATACCGAAAAAATTTTCGTCGCCCGAAATTGTTTTTGGTTTGTTCGTTACCACCTATCAAATGAACTTTCGATTTTGGGTGCCATAAAAAGGCGGGCCCAGCCGACAAACGGCATCAGTCATCGACAATCAATCGAACCAAAGACAACAAACAATGGCTTTAACCAAATTGTTCATCGTCGTGGCTCTGGCCGTCGCCTACGCTTCAGCTTCACCAGCCTCCTCTTCATCCACCGACCTCAGCTTCGAGGAAACCATCGCCAAGTACATCCAACACCAAGAAGTATCCATCGACATCCCGTTCGTAGACTCCAAGGTCACCTTAGACGCCAGGAATTTGGAGGAAGATGAGCTCGATCTTAAAGTGCAATTATCTGCTGCTGGAGAAGGTAACAATTCAGTATTTAATAAACAAAGTTTGATAATTAAATAATCAAAAATTTTGTTAATTTGTAGCTCGCAAATCCAGCAAGTTGAAGAAGATCTTCGCCCCGATCTTCCTCTTCGTTATGCTGAAGGCTGTCACCTTGATCCCAATGGCTCTCGGTCTTCTCAGTTTGAAGACTTTCAACGCTCTTCAACTCTCTTTCGTTACCTTCGTCATCTCCATCGGTCTGGCTGTTTACAAGCTCTGCCAGAAGGTTCCTCATGAGCATGCTCCAGTAGTCTCCCATTCCGCCCCGTGGAAGAGGTCGATCTCTGAGGAATCTGCCGCCCAGCAAATGGCATACTCTGCTTACATCAACTAAGCTCAAACAACTACCTCAACTCATCTCAACTTTTGTTATTTATTATGCGAAACCTGTTGTTAATTTTTATTATTTATTGATGAATAAATGTTTTATTATATGAAAAATTTGAACCCATTCACTGAAAAACCTCATACAAATTAACAAATCAATATTTTTAAGAACGAACTAGTTTCATACAATTCTTCTTGTAAAAGTTAATAAAAAATATAATTATATTACATAAATTTACAACTTGCTTTAAAAAATGGCTTTTTTTTATATATTTCTTGTCTAAAACTTTCTTTAAATATTTCACAAAATTGGACATTGAAAGAATTCTTGATGAAATTCGCTTCAAAATAACTTCAAATAAGTTAGAATTTACAAAAGTTTTTGTCAAGAGAAATTATTGAAAATAAATATTTTTGACATTTTTTTCATTACATTATTAAATAAACATTATTTAGTTAACAAATGTATTAGTAAAATGATAATAATACATGTATGTAAAGGAAAGGGAGGATATATCCGCCGCTCAACCGTAAAATCTTCAAATTGAAAACTTGTATGAAACAAAAATACATCAATAAATACAACTTTGTTAAAAAGATTATCTAAGTTTTTATTTATTTGAATTACTGAATTGAGTAATAATGTTGAAAATATTTAATCCCTCGTGAACGAAGATTTTTAATTTGATTTTTCAACTGCTTTGTTGCGTATTATCATGTTGTGGCGTTTATCTTTTGTAAAATGCATAGGGCGGATATATCCGCCGTTCATCTGAAAATCATCAAATTAAGTAATAAACTTGTATAATTTGATACATTTAAGACAATAATTTAGATTTATGAGTTAAATTTATTTAAAAAAAACATTTGACGATTTGAATTTACAAGAAAAAAACATTATTTAGATAACAGATTTGATATTTATTCTATTGAAACTTCGCACATTTACTGAAATAGTTTAAAAATGTATTAATAAAGTGATTAAATTGTAATGTTTAATTAGAAACTGTTCATGTGTGTAATGGAAATGGCGGATATATCCGCCGCTCGACCGTAAAGTCTTCAAATTAAATATTGTATCTTGTATGAAAAAAAAATGCATCAATAAATACAACTTTGAATGAATAAATTTAAACAAATTGTTAAAAAGATTAAGTTCTTATTTATTTGAATTACTGAATTCAAATATTTAATCCCTCGTGGACAAACATATATAAGTCACTTTTTCAACTGTTTTGTTGCGAATCTGTTATGTATTATCATGTTGTGGCGTATATCTTTTGTAAAAAGCATAGGGCGGATATATCCGCCGTTTATCTGAAAATCGTCAAATTAAGTAATAAACTTGTATAATTTGATACATTTAAGACAATTATTTAAATTAATGAGTTAAATTTATAAAAAAACCATTTGATGATTTGTAAAAGTAAATTATTTGAAGAAAGATACTAAATTTTACATAAATAAATTTAAAAATTTTGATAATTGTAAGAAATGGATGATGTATTACATGGATGTAATGATGATTTCATGAGTAAATTTAACTGAAAAAATCAATGATACTAGAAAAATTGAATAATGGAATTAGATTATAAAAATTGTATTGGAATTTCTAGGGCATACGCAATGAACAATTTTTCTATGTACGTTTTTGATATGAAACGTAATGTTAGAAAAATGTACAGTTGTATAATGAGCGCACGGATTTATGGATGATCGTAGAATGTAATAATTAAATTGGATATGAAAATATTTGTGACATTTTTGTTTGAACCGGAAGCGGTACGGTATATCGCCTCGGACCGCATTGTACATATTAAGGCATCGAGTTCTACATTGACTGTCTTCGTGCGTGTGTAACAATAAACATAAAATTAAAGGCAATACCAAACACCAAACGTTCCACTAACGAATCCATCCATCTATACACAAGAATAATTAATTGGACACACACAAATTCCTTTGCATACACATTTATATTAATTTTAATAAATAGTTTAAAAAATCAATACTTTTTGTGTAAATAAATGTTATATTTGATAACTTTCATTAACTTTGGATAATAAAATAATGTAATAGTCTAATTAAACAAGATGTAATCTCATTTCTTTCAATTAAATAAGATTGTCATAAAAGAAACGTTACTATTCAATTTTGCTACAATTTTGTTTTCTTTTATAATTATTCCAATTCCAATTGATAATTATATAGTATAGACTATAAACTTTAATTATATAATGTTTGATGTATCAGTAAAGTTTCATTCTGATAACAACAACAAAAATATTCTAAAATTTAATTAAATCCATTATTATCTTACTTAAATATGTAAGTTATTTAATTAACAATATATTGATTAAGATATTGTCTATATACGTTTACTCTACAAAAATTTGAATACTTAATATTTTAATGAAAGTAAAATGAAAATTTTACTATTAATATTTTACGAAATAAAATGTATGTGAATAGTTATATTAAATAAAATTTGATTTGATGAGAATTTTTCGTAGAAAAAGCATGAAAGTCTTTAGTAATTATATATATTATTTAGTATAAATATTTTATTATAATAATTCTATATTACTTTTAATTTTTTTTTTGCTAATTGAACTAGTTTTTTCTTTTGAAAATCTGTATCAAAATATTCCTTCTCATCGTGATTTAATTAAATTTAAAATATTTCTTCTATATTCACGTATTTTGGTTTTCATTGAAAATCTAAACATTTTTGAAAATATGAGCAAAATAGGTATAAAGAAGATTTTTGTGTGTTTTTCCTGCACTTTTTACTTAGTTATAGTTACAATAATTGAATTATTATATATGTATATTTTTATAGTTTTTTTGGAAGAAAATAACTAAATTAAAGTTAATTATCTTGAAGAAATTTAAGAAAAACATCTATAACATCTATGTTTATATAATTAGAATAAATACAATTTATGGTTCAAGAAAATTTCAACAACATTAAAGAAACAAGTATAAAACAACAATCATGTATTTTTTTTTTTAAATTATTTTCAATTTGTTAATAGTTAATTGTAATATAAATTTGTATTAAAGAACATTGACAAAGTATGTGTGAAAAGTCAAGATTTAAATTTAGTTAAAATCTATTAGTTTGAAGAAACTTTTAACAACTGTTAAGAAATACACATTAATAATTTGTTTGCAATACTTTTCAGTTTGTTCTATATTAGTTTTTCTTACAAGAATTGAACAAAATTGAGAAATTTAACATTTTCATTAAGTTAAAGTCAAGTTTTTGTAAGCAACTGTGAAAATTAATTGAGAAATATGTATAAAACAATTATTTTTATTATTAGAAAGTATTCATTATATTTTAGAGCTTTTTTTAATAAAATTAACGAATTGAAATATTTATACTAAATTAGCAGAAGTTACTTGAATGAAACATCTTCAAAAAACATTTAAAAAACTTTATAATTACGTAAATAATTAGAAATAATATTTATTTGTAAATTTTTGCATTTTTTTCAAAGAAAATGAGCAGATTTCNCTTGAATGAAACATCTTTAAAAAGCATTTAAAAACTTTATAATTACGTAAGTAATTAGAAATAAGATTTATATGTAAATTTTTGCTTTTTTTTTTCAAAGAAAATGAGCAGATTTCAAGATTTAAATGAAGTAATTGAAGCAACTTTAAAAAGATTTAACTAAATTAGCAGAAGTTACTTGAATGAAACATCTTTAAAAAGCATTTAAAAACTTTATAATTACGTAAGTAATTAGAAATAAGATTTATATGTAAATTTTTGCATTTTTTTTAAAGAAAATGAGCAGATTTCAAGATTTAAATTAAGTTATTGAAGCAACTTTAATAAGATTTAAACTAAATTAGCAGAAGTTATTTGAATGAAACATCTTTAAAAAGCATTTAAAAACTTTATAATTACGTAAGTAATTAGAAATAAGATTTATATGTAAATTTTTGCATTTTTTTCAAAGAAAATGAGCAGATTTGAAGATTTAAATTGATTTATTGAAGCAACTTTAAAAAGATTTAAACTATTTTAAGAAAATTATTTTGAAGCATCTGTGAAAAGTATTTATTATTTCAAAATCTTAATTTTTTTCTTGGATTGACCGATTTGAAGGTTAGAACTAAGTTGAAATCAACTTTAAAAAGCATTGTTCTTCACTGATTGAAATGACAAGTTGATGAAGAATGGTGTTTGCGAAACGGAATGAAAAATACTATGGAAAAGTGCTAAGATTTTAATTGCGAAGCGTGCGAAGTTGTGACTGGAAAGACAAGTGAATCGTTCGGAGACAGTGCAGAAGCGAACAAATGAATAAGTCAAACGATCGATGTGGCTTACTGGGCCAACTAGGAAAAACGTTGAAGACGACGAAGACGTCGTCGTCCGCAAGGAAAAGAAAGAAGAAAAAAAAGAAAACGTCGTCGGAGAACGGTGTCATTCCTTAAAATCGAAAATGGTTTCACCATCAATGCGTCGCGCATTCGTAAAACAAAGAACCGGACATCGTAGCGGACCCAGAACCATATCCAAACGACTATTTGGGCGTTAATTAATAAGCCCATCACAGACACTACACTATACCCACCACCATTTCGATCAGACTATAAAACCGCACCCACCCACAACAATCGTCAGTCAATCATCAATATCAATCAAAGCAACAACAACAACCACAACAACATCAATATGTGGCGATTTGCAGTACTCCTCCTCGTCGGCTTCGCCGCCGCTCAACAGTACGGCCCCAGGTCCGGGGATCAACTGGTATCTTCTGTCTTCTCCAACTGCGTGGAGATGGGATGCGTCAAGCAGAACGTCCTCGAGTACTTGGATAACATCCTGAACTTGCAATCCGACGCTCGCAGCATCAAGGTAAATCTTGACCATTAACAAAGATTGCAGCAACTAATTTGATGATCATCTCTTAGGATGTGGATCAGGCCATCTTCAAGAGGGCAGCGCGCGTCCTCAAGACGCACGAATTCAGAGTACAGCTTCCTCAAACCTTCTTCGACGGTTCCGAATTGGTGTACAACCCCAACTCTGGTCTGGACATCACCACCGGCCCCAACGAAGGTAAAACCAAATCATCACCACCAAAAAACAATCTAAAATTAACAATTTCTTGACAGAACGTGGTCTTGGATTGAAGAAGAAACTGTTGTTGCCCATCCTTCTCCTCTTCAAGCTCAAGATGAAGGCCCTCATGCCAATCTTCGTCGGATTGATCGGTCTTAAAGCCATGAAGGCTCTCGTCCTCAGCAAGTTGGCGATCGCCATCGTTCTCGGATTCGTCGCTTACCAATTGTTCGGCAAGTCAGGTAAGTGAAAACGGAAGGATTCCGCGCACGCAATGGACTCGATTTCGATTCACATTTTTTACATTTTCTTTCTCGAAGGTATGCCAATGCCAATTCCGATGTCCATGACTCCAGTCGAACCACCGATGAGCATGTACGGACCACCATCGACCTCAGCTCCGATGAGCTCCTACGAACCAGGATGGGAACCAGCGTCAGGTGGACCATACTCTCGCGTCTGGAACGGTGGTTCTTCCTCATCCTCTTCCGGAGAGAGCTCTCAAAGCTTGGCCTACTCCTCGTACTATCCAGGAACATCGGCGTCTTCGTCCACTGTTCACCCTTGAACCGCATCTTAATTGTTTAAGCTACCAAACCAAAAGCGACCTTCGACTTCGACCCAATCACAAGACATTATTTATTTTCACTTGTTAAATTATTTAAATAAATGCTTTTTTTTCTATCGAAAATATAATATAAACTATTGTTTTCTTACCAAAAAAACACTGCCTACTACATTATTCCATTCTATTTACTCATGACATTAAATTCAACAATTTATATCGACTTATTAATTAACACTTGCTTTTTTCTTTTAATACAAATGACTTTGTGCATCTAATAATACCATTAATTCAACATCAAAAGTCATTGAAATTGAGCGTGTCTTAAGAAATTTTACTTTTCATCTAAAGAAAGATGTTTCAGCTTTCGTTTGATTCTAAATACATAGATTTCGATCATGTAATAAGAAAGTTATTAAAGTTTAACCAGTTGACTGTCTCAATAAAATTGAACACTTAAAAATGAAGATAATAATTTAATAAAAATTTATAAATATTGTTAATTTACTGTACATTTATTCAAATATTGTTATAAGTAATCTAATTATAAATAATTTTCATTAAATTATAACAAAAAAAGTACAATATTTAAATAAATTTTTATTCAATTCAAAAATTAACACAAAAACTTAAAAAATATTGAAATATTTGCGTTTTTATTAACATTTTAAATTATAACTATGGTTTAGTTACAGAATAGAATGAATTGTGATAAAAGTTTCATAATTTTACAAGTATTTCAATATTTTTCAATAAATTATCAAACGCAAAAAGTTATATTAATGTATTGAATAAAAATGAACAAAAAATTTTAATATTTGTGTTTCTGTTAATATTTTAAATAGTAAGTATAGTTTAGTTGCAGAATTGCTAAATTGATCTCAAATACGCAAAAAATTTAAACAATTGTGACAAAAGTTTCATAATTTTGCAAATACTTAAATATGAAGATTTTTTTAATAATTTATAATCAATTTTTGAATGATTTTTTCTCAATTATTTTTAAATTATTGTATATTCCCATGTATTATTATTATGAAAAAATATATTGTAATAATAATCATTATTTCATTAAATGATTCTTAAAGAATTGTTGAAAACACGATTTTTTAAAAAAAAAAAAATAGATTTTCCAAATTATCTCAAAAGTATATAGCTTTTAACATATTTTATGTTTACATAAAAATGTGTCTTTTATTGTGCATCTTTTGATATAACTCCTATTACTTAATGATATTTAGTGATCAAGATATAAAGATTTTTAAATTTTTCCAATGTTTTTTTAAATTTTTCACAAATCATTTTATATTTTTTTATACTACCTATAAATATTTGAAAATATTTCATGATAACATCAGAAGAAGTGTTTTATTGTGAAAATTTTGATACAATTATTATTACGTAATTTCAATTATTAACTGAGATATGGCCTTAAATTGAAATTTTGTCTTATTGATTTTTACGTAATGATTTTTTGGTGCCATCTAATGTTCGGTAGACGAAATACTAGACGATTTCCTATCATTCTGGTTGCATCACTCAAACAGTTAGGATAAATCTGAAGAAAAACCTTTTTTTATCAATAAATATTAATTTTTTATATTATTAATAAAATATTTGCATTACTTAAAAGAAATAAATTGATGGATTTTGTACTTTAATTTTTTATATGGAATAATAAAAAAATGCACCCTTATGAACTGATTAGAACTGGTGTAAAACTAGTTAGTGCGTTGAGAGCTTAGTAATCATTTCAACTAGTTTTAACTGCTAATAATTACAGTAAAACGTTTGGTTTTCTTCAGAACGTAAATTAAAAGAAAAGATAAACTACATCCTTTATTGCCGCTAATTTTACAAATTCATTACATAATCGTAGGTTTACTAACTACTTAGATCTTCCTACATCCGTCCAAGTTCAACGTCACCTCGTTTATCAATCTCGTGTCTACATAACAAGACTTATTTTTCCACATATAATTGAACCATTTTAAATAAACAATATTATTTGTTCGTTAAAATTAACAAAGAAAAAAAACGTGTTATCAAATATTATTTAGACGAGACGATCTTTGATACTTGTGGTAACAAATATTTACATTTTCATTTATTGTTTACGTAATTTTAATCGTTTTTCTTCGAACTTGTTTTGTAAATTCCTCATTTTATCTTTAAATAACATTAATTTTTAAAGTTTATAAATAACAAATTTATAATAATTTAACATGTTTTGCGGATATTCGAATTCTAGTAAAAGTTTGCTGTAAAAGTGTGTAAATTATTAATTTTTAAAGAATTTAGTAATATTTTAAATATAGTCAAGATGTGACAACTTGGACAAGTAATTGAGTCGATTAATTTTGACGTGGTTTTAAGCAACTTAAAAATGTAAATATTTATAAAGTAAATAACATAAAGGTGGGTACACACTGTCAAGTTATGTGACAGTTACGGCAAATATATGAAAAACCATATTGTGTATATTTGACGTACTTTTCTCATTATAAACAATATGAAAATTGTTATGTATACTGAAACAACTGAAGGAATAAATTTGGCAAAGTGCGTAGACAGCTTTATAACAATATGTTTTTACATGAGTGAATTATTAAACACAGGGAAAATACTAACTTTATTTTACTAAATGGCTGGAGTAGCAGATGCAGAATAGTGCGTATACACCTTTATAACAAGTATTGTCGTTACATAATGATTTACATGTCTGAATTAGCAGACACAGTAATATATTTATTTTAATAATACTAACATAAATGGCTGAAGTAGCAGATGCAATACAGTGAGTAGGCACCTTTATAACAAATGTTGTCATTTGATTAAGATTGTTACGTGTACTAACTTACATTAGTCGGCTAACAAATACAGTACAGTGAGTAGGCACCTTTATAACTATTATCATTGGATTAATATTTACAACAAATATACAAAAAACGATTATTAGCAACAATATCAAACTTGTTACGTGTACTAACTTACATTAGTGGGGTAACAAATACAGTACAGTGAGTAGGCAGCTTTGTAACAAGTATAATCAGTTGATTAAGATTTACAACAAATATACAAAAAACGATTATTAGCAATAATGTCAAACTTGTTACGTGTACTAACTTACATTAGTGGGGTAACAAATACAGTACAGTGAGTAGGTACCTTTATAATAAGTATTATCATTGGATTAAGATTTACAACAAATATACAAAATACGATTATTAGCAACAATGTCAAATTTGTTACGTGTACTAACTTACATTAGTGAGGTAACAAATACAGTACTGTGAGTAGGCACATTTATAACAAGTATTTGATTAAGATTTACAACAAATATACAAAACATGATTATTAGCAATAATATCAAACTTGTTACGTGTACTAACTTACATTAGTGGGGTAACAAATACAGTACAGTGAGTAGGTACCTTTATAATAAGTATTATCATTGGATTAAGATTTACAACAAATATACAAAAAATGATTATTAGCAACAATATCAAACTTGTTACATATTCCAAATCCCATCAGTGGAGTAACAGATACAGCACAGTGAGTAGGCACCTTTATAACAAATGTTATCATTTCATTAAGATTTACATCAAATATGCAAAAACGATTATTATCAACAATATGAAAATTGTTACGTGTACCAACTTACATTAGTGGGGTAACAAATACAGTACAGTGAGTAGGCACCTTTATAACAAGTATTATCATTGGATTAAGATTTACAACAAATATACAAAAAATGATTATTAGCAACAATATCAAACTTGTTACATATTCCAAATCCCATCAGTGGAGTAACAGATACAGCACTGTCAGTAGGCACCTTTATAACAAGTATTATTATTGGATTAAGATTTACATCAAATATGCAAAAAACGATTATTAACAACAATATCAAACTTGTTACGTGTACTAACTTACATTATTGGGGTAACAAATACAGTACAGTGAGTAGACACCTTTATAACAAGTATTATTATTTGATTAAGATTTACAACAAATATACAAAACACGATTATTAGCAACAATATCAAACTTGTTACGTATTCCAAATTGCATCAGTGGAGTAACAGTGAGTAGGCACCTTTATGATAAATATTAACGTTGGAATACGATTTTTATCAAATATACAAACTTTTTTTTATTAAAAACAATATTTAAACAATGTACTAACATAAATAAGTTGAGTAAAAGATTCATTACAGTGCGTACGCACCTTTTTTTGACTAATATTTGTAAAAGATGATAATGATATAGAATAAATGTACAAAATTATTTTATAAGTCAAGTATAGCAAATTACAGAATACAAAATTACTAGATTATGGACAGTGTGTAGACACCTTATGACAAATATTGTATAATGATTGAAATTGATGAAACAGTTTAATTGAGACCTAGTTTATTTGAATGTTTGTAGCGCAAATCGTTTTATGAATTCTATTAATATTCCGTTTGCGAAGTGTGCGATGAGTGTACAGGAAACGGCAACGTCTGGCAGGTGCTGACATCTGTCCCGAATGGAAATTCCGAACGAAGAGCGAAGCGGCTCTCTGCGCGTTCGTTCTTTCACATCTATTCAGTGTGTGCAGAGTCGTCCTTCCTTCTCCGATCCGCATAAATTTGAATGCGATCGTTGTTTTGACGGAGCGAACAGCTGAGCGAAACAAAAACAACATTAAAAAATCCATATGTTTTGATGCATCGCAACATCCTCAACGCGTTTTGTTTTCGTTGTCAACGGCGACCTTTAAACAAAACAGTAAACAAAACTCCCACCAGAACCGCGGAGATAGGAGAGCACTACTGCTCGTCGCTGAACGGATCGTGGTGATATATAATTCAGTAGAGCGGAGGATACCGGATCGCCATCACCATGGGCGATTGCAAGAGGTAAGATTAAAAGTATTTTCATACTTTATTTGAGTTTGTTTCATAAAATTTTCCTGTCAACAGTTTCAGTTTTGAGATCAAGCAGGAGAAGGATTTGGCTGCGACTGGGTACGATGCTATAGTTCATATTCATTGGCCGCAGCAGAAGGAGCACCACTCCAAGTTGCAGTCCGCTTTAGCTGGAGCCTTGAAACGCGATCCCAGTTTAGCTTCGGAGGTGGCCATTCTTAGCTCCGATCTTCCTGCTGGAAGGATCGTTCTGTCCTCTGCCGGACCTTTGGATCCGGACTACGATGATGTTCGTAGCTTCCGCGATGCTGCTTACAAGGGTGTCAAGAGGGCTTTGAAGGCTGGAGTCAAGAAACCTTTGATCCATCTCCAAGGGCATCCGGACTACGAGGATGCTGAATTGGTCACGCTCTTGGGGGCGCTCGAAGCCCTGCACGTGGTGAGTCCTTTCACTTTCTCAATTATCGAGCGGTCTTCTCCCTTCGCAAAAGGGCTTCAAAGCATTCCGACGCACAATTTTGTCTTTTTTTTATTACCTGCCCTACGGTCACGTGACTTTCGCGGAAGGATCGATATACCAAACAGCTGATTCTCAACTGTTGTCATTCCCAAAATACACTTGCTACCACATCACTTTAACAAGTATTTAACTTCAATTTGTATACTTTTAACATTGACTAACAAGAAGGACCATAAAAATGATTGAAAATGTATACATTTACCAGTAAATTTAAAAAATTAAATTCTTTATATGAAACAGCTGATTGTCAAAACTAATGGCAGTAAAAACGTCATTTATTACGAAAACAAATGATGTCCATTTTTATTGGTTATTACATCACTTATTAAAATTAATCATTTCTATAACTTCAATTTGTATGCTTTTAACATTGACTAACAAAAGGCAGAATAAAAATGATAGAAAATGTACACATTTACCACTAAATTTAAATATTAAACTTCGTTATTTCAAACAGCTGTTTATCAAAACTATTGTCATTAAAACGTCATTTATTACCAAAAACAAATGATGTCCACTTTTATTGGTTACTACATCACTTACTAAATTTAATTATTTTTATAACTTCAATTTGTATACTTTTAACATTGACTAACAAACAGCAGAATAAAAATGATAGATAATGTACACATTTACCAGTAAATTTAAATATTAAACTTTGTTATTTCAAACAGCTGTTTGTCAAAACTACTGTCATTAAAACGTTATTTATTACCAAAAACAAATTGGTTATTACATCACTTATTTGGTTACTACATCACTTATTAAATTTAATCATTTCTATAACTTCAATTTGTATACTTTTAAAATTGACTAACAAAAAGCAGAATAAAAATGATAGATAATGTACACCTTTACCAGTAAATTTAAATATTAAACTTTGTTATTTCAAACAGCTGTTTATCAAAACTACTGTCATTAAAACGTCATTTATTACCAGAAACAAATGATGTCCACTGTTATTGGTTATTACATCACTTATTAAATTTAATCATTTCTATAACTTCAATTTGTTTCCTTTCAAAAAAATAACTACAGTTTCATACAGAAATATTTCACTTACAGATATTTAATTTAGTGAATGTATACATTTACCAGATTTTTTTTTAAAGTAAAGTTTAATATATAAAACAGCTGTCATTTTAACGTCATTATGAAATAAATGATGAACGTACAAATACATCACTTGATAATTTATTTACTATAAATGAAACGAAAATCATGATAATTGATTTTCAATCATAAATATTTCAAAAATTAGAAACAATTTGTTAAAATTTACAAATTTAACAATAATCAACTTTTTTTTTCACTTGATAACTTAATAATTAAGCATACCAAAAAAAAATAATTAAAAATATTATTATCTGCTAATTATTTACAGTTCATTAATTAAAAAATTAAACAAATTATATAAAAAAAAGTTTACACAATATTGCATCATCATCAACATGACAAATTAATTGTAAATTAAACAAGAAAATGATATAAATAGATTTAAATAAACATATAAAAATGTATGGCTCTGGACTTTAAAAGTTCATTTCATTCAAAATACGGATTAAATAAATTCAATATTGATACAAATACTTAAACATATTAAAATCTATTTTAAGATTGATGATAAATACAAAATTAAAAACAAATTTTCATGTTTTCTTTGTAAAAAAAACATACTATTAAATGTAATTTATATAATTTACAAATTTATATTAAAAATTAATTAATTATTAATTTAATTAAGTAAAATATTTGCATTTTACTTTATGTATAATTTATGTGAATAACAAACTGATAAACTTTTGTCATATCTATTCGTTTTCATAGAAAATTCCATTCTGCTTACGTGTAAATCTATTATTATCATCAAGTGTCCTATTTCTTATGCAACATCATGGGTTTCGTTCAAACATGATAACGTAATTTAGTTAAAAAAAAAGTATACACATTCCTATAAATACTTGAAAACAGAAACGAGAATCACGTACAACAATATAAAATGATTACATAATTAATTTAATTAACTTTTCATAACATTTATATATTTAATGTTTTACAAAGTTTTGCAAAATTATTTCTATTTTTTTTGTGGGAACGAATGCAAACTGTTTTTGTTTGTTTGTGAATTCGAGCGTTAATCATTGATTTAAGCTTGTTTGTGCGAGATAAGTGCTAATAAAGTATTGAATAATTTACAATGTTGTCGTTCGTGGAATGAATTGCAACATGATTAACAATTATTTACAGTTTCGAGGATTAACGTTATCTAATAAATATTGCATCATTGAAAATGTAATATGAAATTTCATAATCACACAAATAACAATTTAATTTTTGTAATACGCAAATAAGTAATTGATTTCCTATCAAAATTTCTAGTTTTTTTTTTGTAAAAGATTGTTTTATTTATCAAAGATTATTGCTTGATTTTATCATTAGTTTTATCAATCACGTACTTAATTCTGATTATAACGATTATCACGTGTATTAATGGAAATCGGGTATTAGATCTTAAACAAAAAAATAGTTAAGCAAGGATAATATTTGGGAAGAAATGTATTGATTTTCTAGAATCGAATATTGATGAATTCTAAAGAAAATAGTTAAAATTTGATAAAAAATGGCAACAATTTTATTTTTTAATGTTTTATTGCATCATGCATCATGGAATGACGTAAGGAGTCTCATTTTACGACCATTTCACAAAGAAAGTTGTTTCTGAATGATGATTATCATTTTTATTGTATATTTATAAGTTGTTTACAAACTTATTTTTAGTTTAACGGAATTCTGTTTCAATGACCTTGGCCGTGCATATTGCAAAATTTTCTTACACTGAAATTTATGAGTAATTATTCTATTTATAATAATTATATTTTAACCTTGAACATGCATATTTCACTAAAATTTCATGCTATAATTTTAAATTAAAGATTAATTAAATTATGTATTAATTAGATTTAAGGTCAATTTAATTAAAATTAAGTAATTAATTAAAACTACTGAAATTTTCTTGCATTTCTATATTAAATTTCTATAATGTTAATAAATTACCTTGGAAATTTTTCGAACATTGAAAATATCTTAGTAGAATTCTTTATATTTCTTAATTTTATATTTTATAATTCTTTATAGATTTATCATTTTTTTAAAGAAATTAATCAAAAAAGAAATGTGTAAAACTGCACTAAATTTAATAGAAGATTAATTAATGAAAATTACTGAAATTTTCTTGTATTTCTCTATTAAATTGTAGATATAAATCAAATATTTGTTACTGAATTTAGATAGAAACAATAATGTTGATTAATGACCTTGGAAATGCATTCTTTACTTAAAAACTAAAGCTAATACTGTCTATAATTGCCAACAAAGTAAATCTAACAAAGGAAATGTAATCTCTTTAGATTTCCATGGAAACTCAATGACAATTGTTTTTTGGAACGACTTGATTTTATATTTTTTGTCTCTGTTATTCGTAATTCACATTTTACATCATTTAACAAATAAATTATTCGTTAAGTCAAGAATTCGTAAATTGAAAACTATTTAGTACTATTCTGTATATTTATTAGTATATTTCAGTAAATTTTCAATGAAAATAGTTTAATTAAAAAAAATATATAATTCTTCATCGATTTCACGGTTTTTCGAACATTGAAAATATCTTAGTAGAATTCTTTATATTTCTTAATTTTTCTGTGTGGATTTTCTGAAAAATTAGTTAAAACTTAAAGGAATATAATTCTCTATAGATTTATCAATTTTCTTAAAGAAATTAATCAAAAAAGAAATGTGTTAAAACTGCAGCAAATTTAATAGAAGATTAATTACTGAAAATTACTGAAATTTTCTTGTATTTTTCTATTAAATTGTAGATATAAACCAAATATTTGTTACTAAATTTAGATAGAAACAATAATGTTCATTAATGATCTTGGAAATGCATTCTTTACTTAAAAACTAAAGCTAATACTGTCTATAATTGCCAACAAAGTAAATCTAACAAAGAAAATGTAATCTCCTTAGATTTCTTTGAAACGACTTGATTTTATGTTTTTTTGTTTCTGTTATTCGTAATTCACATTTTCCATCATTTAACAAAGAAATTATTCGTTAAGTCAAGAATTTGTAAATTGAAAACTTTTTAGTATATTTATTAGTATATTTCAGTAAATTTTCAATGAAAATAGTTATAGTTAATATTTGTTACTAAATTTAGATAGGAACAATAATGTTCATTAATAACCTTGGAAATGCATTCTTTACTTAAAAACTAAAGCTAATGCTGATTAATAATTGTCGATAAATTAGATTTAACAACGGATATTTAATCTCCTTGAATTTCCATGGAAACTCAATTAGAAGATAATTGTTTGTTTGAAACAACTTGATTTTATATTTGTAGTTTCTGTTATTCGTAAATCCAAATATTTGTTACTAAATTTAGATAGAAATAATAATGTTGATAAATGACCTTGGAAATGCATTCTTTACTTAAAAACTAAAGCTAATACTGATTATAATAGTCGATTTAACAAAATGAAATGTAATCTCCTTGGATTTCCATGGAAACTGAATGAACTTTAAAAGACAATGGTTTGTTTGAAACGGTTTAATTTCATTCGTAATTCACAATTTCCATCAGCGCATAACAATCACGCCACAACGCCAACTACATTCGTCGCATGCCGATAAAAACCTTATCACCGTTTTGATAAGAACCAACGACCAGACTATTACATTTTTCACCGCATCAAATCCATTCTTCTCAACATGAAAAGACATTGAAACCTGCGCGTCACTACTCTCCTTGCGAACACAATTTTCCTTCAAATTAATTGCTTCTCGAGACGGAAGTGCATTCAAATGCTGCTATTCATTCGCTTTTTATTAGGATCGCATTGCTTCGCTCACTTTATTATTATTCCATGATCAATGCAGCCTTGATGCCAAAAATAAAACGCAGTCTCGTTCGCATAGATTTCTTCTATTCTTTTGTGTTTGTTTCATTTCTATTTCGTTCGTTTCTTCTTTTTTTGTTGTTGTCTTCAAATCCGCGTGATTCCGAATATCTGAAGATCCTCAATGTCGCACGTGTTAACTGCATTTTTATTCAAATCTTCGGTTTCGTTCATTTTTCACGCTTCAAGTAATAAAATTAAAATTTTATTTTATTTTAATACCGTTGCATTTTATTTATGCGTTACGTAATTATGATTTTACGTTGCGTAACGTTTCGACATTCGAATCCGAATCATTACTGTATCTTATCTAATTCTCCAACTATCAAAAATCTCGCATTTTTTTCACAAATTTATCTAAAAACCAGAAGATTTCAATACAATCTATAGAAATCAAAATCACGTACGATAATCATTGTTATTTCAAGTGTTTTTGTTGTTGTTACGTAAAACAATACGTTTTTTATCTATATTGTAAAGTTTTAGTAATTTAATTCAAATATTCAAATTTTAATACTTTTTTTTCATAATTTCTTACTGGATTTGTCAGTATTACTTCCTTTGAAAGCTTGTGAAAGGATTTAGTTACGTTTTACATGAGAATGAATACACACTGTAATTATTTGCGTACAAAGAAAGTTACTTTCCAAAGACGTTCAATAAGCATAACGCTGAGAATATTGTTCTGAAGTTGACATACTTTTGGGAAATTAACGTATTTTTCCTGAATTAATTCATATTCCAGTTTCATCATTAATTTATTATCTCATTAAAAACAATATTTGATGTAAATTTTGAGAAATGTATACACTAATTTTTACTTTTTTTTTTGAAGTTTTAATGTATATTTCTGTGGATTTTCTTGAAAACTAGTTTAATTGTTTAAAAGTTACACATACACAAATTAAAGATGAAGAAAATGTTTGTACATTGAAAGTTTTCAAACTTTACTGAGTGAATTTTCTATAAAAATACTTTAATTTCAAATTAATGTAATTCTTCATAGATTTAGCGATTTTTGTACAAATTAGATAAAGAAATTATTAATAAAATCAGGAATTTATATATTGAAAACTATTTAGTAGTATTCTCTATATTTCTTCCTATAATTCTGTGGAATTTCTATGAAAATAGTTTAATTTCAAAGAGAAATTACTTCATAGATTTAGCATTTTTTGTACAAACTAGATATAGAAATTATTGATAAAATCGGGAATTTGTAAATTGAAAACTATTTAGTAGTCTTCTGTACATTTCTTAGTATAATTCTGTGGAATTTCTATGAAAATAGTTTAATTTCAAAAAATATATAATTTTTCATAGATATATCAATTTTTATACAAATTAGACAACAAAAATGTTCATAAAATCAAGAATTTGTACATCTTTATATTTCTTAATTTCTGTCAGTGAATTTTCTGAAAAATAAGTTAAAACTAGGAATATAATTATTTATAGATTTTCTTTTTTGAATAGAAATTAATCAAAGAAAATGTTCGTAAAATCGATATTTCATAACAGTGGAAACTACGTACATTTAAGTCATTTTTACTACAAAAAAACGCTATTAATTTGTTCACTATTTAATTTATTAACTAAGCACTTTTTAGACAATACAAATTGAGCAAGAATTCGTCACATAAATTGTAATTAAATAATGAATCCAATTTTTAATGCGCGATAAATGAAAAGTCGGTGTGAAAAGTAAACGATTTTTAAATTACATTCCATTAGAAAAAACACATCTAGTCTATTAGTCATACAGTCTGCATGTTGTCATTTCTATATTGCTGTAACCTTTGGAACGAATGATTCAACATTTATTTTAAATGCGATGCATATTCCAAAGTAAAAATTTTCTTATGAAATTATAACATTTTTTTTTATCCAAATCACGTTTGTAATTAGAAAATGTTCATTAAATCTTACAATCAATTCCGTTAGTTTATGATTTTGTAGTTAATTAGTGTAATTGTATTTTATATGGATATTTTTGTTGTTGTTTTAGCCGATCCAAATCAGAGAGTTGAAGCCAGAGAATTTACCTAAAATCGAGCAGTTGGGTGTAGTTCATGCCGATGCTACTAAAGGCAGCAAACTCATTGAATTGGCTAAAGCCTTGGAGGCTGGACGTCGCGTTGCTCGCGATATCGGTGATGCCGATCCGGAGAGGATGGCTCCTCCGAAGGTGCAGCAGTACCTGGAGGAAGCCTTCAAAGAGAGTTCCATCAGCTTGAAGGTCATCGAAGATGAGAAGGAATTTGCTGAAAACTATCCTCTCTTCGAGGCCGTGAACAGGGCTGCGAGCGTGGTCCAAAGACACAGGGGAAGGATCATCTTCATGGAGTACGTTCCTAGTGGTGAGGTCAAGGAGACGGTGATGCTCGTAGGAAAGGGAGTCACATACGACACCGGTGGCGCTGACATCAAAGGTACATTTTTTTAAGACAATTTCCTTATTACTTGGTGTTTGACAAGTAAATACTTGTCAAGTAACTTGTGTAGTTATTTACACTTTGAGTGTTTTAAGATTATTGCTTCAAAAGTTATCTTCGAACTAAATGCATATAATGATAGTCTTTGGTAGCCAACTGATGCAAGAACTGCAATTATTTGTTCATAGTCAAGTAACTTGTGTAGTTCTTTACTTTTCAAGTATTGCGTAGCTTGTGAACGTTGCATGGCTAGTATCAAAGATTTGCTTAAAATGTTATCGATGTATCTTTGAACTAAATGCAAAGTGATGCAAGAACCGCAATTATTTGTTCATAGTCAAGTAACTTGTATAGTTCTTTACTTTTCAAGTATTGCGTAGCTTGTGAAGGTTGCTTAGCGAGTATCATAGATTAATTCTTCAAATGTTATCGATGTATCTTTGAACTAAATGCAAAGTGATGCAAGAACCGCAATTATTTGTTCATAGACAATTAACTTATGTAATTCTTTACTTTTCAAGTATTAGGTAGCTTGTGAAGGTTGCATGGCGAATATCAAAGATTATTGCTTCAAATGTTATCGAGTTATCTTTGAACTAAATGCAAAATGATGCAAGTATTGCAATTATTTGTTCATTGTCAAGTAACTTGTGTAGTTCTTTACTTACTTACGCAATACTGGCTTGTGAATGTTGCATGGCGAGTATCAAAGATTATTGCTTCAAATGTTATAGATTTTCCTTGTACTAAATGCAAAGTGATGCAAGTATTGCAATTATTTGTTCATAGTCAAATCACTTGTGTAGTTCTTTACTTTACAAGTATTGCGTAGCTTGTGAAGGTTGCATGGCGAGTATCAAAGATTATTGGTTCAAATGTTATCGATTTATCTTTGAACTATATGGAAAATGATGCAAGTATTGCAATTATTTGTTCATTGTCAAGTAACTTGTGTAGTTCTTTACTTACTTACGCAATACTTGCTTATGAATGTTGCATGGCGAGTACCAAAAATTATTGTTTCAAATGTTATCAATTTATCTTTAAACTATATGGGAAAAGATGCAAGTATTGCAATTATTTGTTCATTGTCAAGTAACTTGTGTAGTTCTTTACTTTTCAAGTATTGCGTAGCTTGTGAAAGTTGCATGGCGAATATCAAAGATTATCTTCGAACTAAATACATACAATGACAGTCCTTGGTAGCAAACTGATGCAAGAACTGCAATTATTTGTTCATAGTCACTTGTGAAGTAACTTGTGTAGTTCCTTACTTTTCAGGTATTGCGTAACTTGTGAAGGTTGCATGGCGAGTATCAAAGATTATTGCTTCAAATGTTATAGATTTTTCCTTGTACTAAATACAAGGTGATGCAAGTATTGCAATTATTTGTTCATTGTCAAGTAACTTGTGTAGTTCTTTACTTACTTTACTTACTTACGCAATACTGGCTTGTGAATGTTGCATGGCGAGTATCAAAGATTATTGCTTCAAATGTTATCGATTTATCTTTGAACTAAATGCAAAGTAATGCAAGTACTTGCAATTATTTGTTTATAGTCATTTGTCAAGTAACTGGTCCAGTTCTTTGCTTTTCAAGTATTTCTTAGCTTGTGAAGGTTGCATGGCGAGTATCAAAGATTATCTTCGAACTAAATGCATACAATGACAGTCCTTGTTAGCAAACTGATGCAAGAACTGCAATTATTTGTTCATAGTCACTTGTCAAATAACTTGTGTAGTTCCTTACTTTTCAAGTATTGCGTAGCTTGTGAAGGTTGCATAGCGAGTATCATAGATTAATACTTCATGTTATCTTCGAATTAAATGCATATATTGACAGTTTTTTTTGTAGCAAACTGATGCAAGAACTGCAATTATTTGTTCACATAGCCTTCTCGAATAAAAATTGATGTTCTTTTGTTTCAGCCGGAGGTATTATGGCCGGTATGTCCAGGGACAAGTGCGGCGCCGCCGCCGTCGCCGGCTTCATGAAGGTCGTCGATCTTCTGAAGCCGAAGAACGTGAAGATCGTTTCCGGTTTGAGCATGGTCAGGAACAGCGTCGGTTCGAACTGCTACGTCGCCGACGAGCTGATCAAAGCCAGATCCGGAGCTCTGGTTAGGGTTGGAAACACTGACGCCGAAGGTCGCATGGTCATGGCCGACGTCCTCTGCAGAGTAAGCGAACGCATTCCAATTGCATAACCCATTCACGCGAAACCTATCATTAGAGGCAATAAAATCGAGCTCGGATAATTGAATACCGACCGCAGTGCAATCCTCGTTACGTAAGTCTTAAGGACACGTGTAACTTTGGTTGCCTGACGACAAGGATTTTGTGCAATGGGTTGCCTATGATCTAACGCTTTTTACGTAACAAATTCTCGCTTCTTCTTCCTTTAATTTTTGTTTTGCGTTCTTTGATTTTCAGATGAAGGAGCTCGCCTTGTCTGCTGTTAACCCACATCTGTTTACTGTAGCCACGCTCACCGGCCACGCACATTTAGCAGTCGGAGAAGGATATTCCATAGGTGGGTAACGTAACATAACGTAACGAAAAAAAAACTATATAAATATAACACGACCACTTACATAATTGTCGTTGCATAATGCATCTCGTGAAAAGAAAACAAAAGAAACAAGATGAAACGAAATAAAAGAAGGCTGCAATAAGAAGCGGAGCAATCGCGATGGAAAAAAGAGACAAATCGAACGGAAATAACTAGGCTGGTATTAATGAGAATTTCAATTGGAAAACCTCAAGGTGCGAGCGATTTCATTTGCGGACGAATTATATTAATGTATACTGTGACCTATAATTTATTTATATGGCTTCGACAAACGGAAATCGCTATGAAATTCAGAAAGAAAACATCAAAAAAGTTACGTAACTTCACCATGAAAATTTGTACAAAAATTATTTCAAATTTTCGATTTACAAAATATCACAAATTGATAAAAAAAATTCAATTTACTTAATAATTTAGATGACAAATTAAGAAGTTTATAAGGAATTTGCTTAAGGATAATATTATGAGAAACTTGAAGAAACTAATTTGAAAATCTTTGAAAAGGTGAACTGAAAACCTGTTTTTTTTTCTCTTAATGATTGATAAAAATCTACAAATTTGTGAATTAATTTGGAACATTCTGTTATGAAACGTATCGATTTTTAATGAGATGGAATTTCTAATTAAATATACATAAAACATGTGAAATATGTTAACGAAAATCTCAAGAAAAATTTGAAATATTATACATAATTTACTATTTGGTTAAAAATTGAACTGAAATTGGAAAAAAAGTTTTAAATTTTTATGTCAGAAAAAAGTTCTAAACTTATTTGGAAATTTTACAATTTTTGGTTAATTGAAAACTAGATTTTGTTATGTTTTAATCACGGTTATATGAATGAAATGTGATGATAATTTATATCCAGTTTTGCACGAAAAAAAAAACTAATTCTAAATATAGTTGAGTCATTTTTTTTGTACCATGGAAAGAAACCGAAGAAAAGTTTTATACATTTATTTAAACTAACGTTATAAAACGGTACCGTTATAACGATCATTTATAAAAAGGAAGCCTTTTTTATAACGAATGGGTCGAATCGTTTATTGTTAGATTTAATCTTTAAAAGTTTAGAAGAAAAGTTTTATTAATAATTATTTTTTTAATACATATCATTTTGAAAAGAACACACAAAAATCTTACTGAATTTTTATGTTTTTGTTATTTAAGAAATGTAAGCAATGCTAAACTCTTCTAATTTACTTGATTTCAAAGATATAAAATTGATTAATTAATAATTAAACATACAAAAACTTTGATATTTGTAAGTTTACGAAAGTTAAGCAATGTTAAACTCTTCTAAGTTGCTTGATTTCAAAGATATAGAATTGATTAATTAATAATGAAACATACAAAAATTTTGATATTTGAAAATTGATGAAAGTTAAGTATTATGATGGGAGATCCGAGTAATTTACTGATTTTCTTATGATAAGTTTAATTAACAATGAAATTTATTAAGAAATGGAACAGAAAAACCTTCATATTTAGAAGTTAACGAAAGTTAATTAAAGTTAGTCGATTTGATGGGTGATTCAAGTTATTTTGCTAATTGACTTGTTTTAAAGTTAAATAATTGATTAATTAATTAAGAAATAAAACAGAAAAAAAAATAATATATGGAAGTTAATAAAAATTAAGCAAAATTTGATAAATATATGCATGATATGTATACAAATTAACAGTGAAATTTACTAAGAAATAGATAAAAGATTATTGTAATTTATTGATTGAACTTTTGAACTTTTTGACTAATTTCCCTTTAAAATGCATTTGGAACAGATGAATATTAATAATAATAACTGTTGTGAAAATCGTTTCAAGAAAAAAGGTGAAACGTTTGTTGCATAATTTTCAAATTATGGATTTCCGTTTGGGTCAGATGGGCAGCAATTCCATACTCAATTGATGAAGAATCGAGTGTTGAAGCCATAAACGTGTAACGAATCTGCATAGAGAATGCAACGTAACGTAAAGAGAATTATGCGAGAAGGAGAGAAGAGGTTGATTAAAATGTGGAGCAGAAGTCGCAGCATCCGGGTCCGGGTACGAAGAACTGTATTTCTCTCTGTTCTGTTCTTCTCTTCATTCTTAAACCTTTTTTCTCTTTTTGTTTTTTTTATTGTCGTATTTGCAGTTCAGAATTCGCCGACAAATTGCAATATAATTTTCATATTTAATCGCACACGTAACTGTTCTTCGATGCGGAGCCAAAAACTCCTTTTGATTAGTCAGAGGACTGTAGACGAAAGAAATGTGGAACAACCGACAGTGATGATGAATTTGCAGGACCGAAATGAGAAATATTTTCAAATTTATATATCAATTTTTTTTTACAACAATCTTAAGAAAAATGACACAATTTATAAAATTGAAGTTATTTTTATAAACATAGAAATTATAAAATTTTTTTGTATTTTTACGTAAATTATTCACATTTCATGTGAGAAGTAATTTTTTTTTTGTAAATTTTAAAAATTAAATCTAAGAGTTATTTTTTTTTATTGAAATTCTCTTAGTTTTTATGTTGAAGTTAAGAAAATCGTTAAGTATACTTATTTTTTTGTAGTCTATAAGTAATGTTCAAAGTTATATAAGTATTAAGTTGAGAAATTATGGAAAAAAAGTTTAAGGAAACATTTATGAAAATTTACCAAATTTTCTTAGTTTTGGAGTAATTTGTGAAGTTAGGAAAAACTTTAAGTATACTTATTTGCTTTTAGTGTATAAATGATATTCAAAGTTATATAAGTATTAAGTTGAGAAGTAATGGAAAAAAGTTTAAGGAAAGTTTTGTGAAAATTTTCGTAGTTTTGAAATAATTTGAGAAGTTAGAGAAAAACTTTAAGTACACTTATTTAATTCTGATCTGAAATAACTTATGAAGTTAGGAAAAAGTTTAAGGAAATTTTTATAAAAATTTACCAAATTTCCTTAGTTATGAAATAATTTGTGAAGTTAGAAAAAACTTTAAGTATACTTATTTCATTCTAGTCTAAAAGTGATGTTCAAAGTTTTAAGTATTAAGTTGAGAAGTAAGGGAAAAAGTTTAAGGAAAGTTTTGTGAAAATTTTCTTAGTTTTAAAATAACTTTTGAAGTTAGAAAAAACTTTAAGTATACTTATTTAATTCTGGTCTGTAAATGATATTCAAACATACATATGTTGAGAAGTTATGAAAAAAGTTTTAGGAAACATTTATTAAAATTTTCCAATTTTTTTGCTTTTGAAATAATTTGTGAAGTTAGGAAAAAAGTTTATGGAAACATTTATGAAAATTTCCCAAATTTTCTTAGTTTTGGAATAATTTGTGAAGTTAGGAAAAACTTTAAGTATACTTATTTGATTCCAGTCTAAAAGTGATGTTCAAAGTTTTAAGTATTAAGTAGAGAAGTAATGAAAAAAAAATTATGAAAAGTTTTTTGAAATTTTTTTTAGTTTTAAAATAACTTGTGAAGTTAGGAAAAACTTTAAGTATACTTATTTAATTCTGGTCTGTAAATGATATTCAAACTTACATATGTTGAGAAGTTATGAAAAAAGTTTAAGGAAACATTTATGAAAATTTTCCAAATTTTCTTAGTTTTGAAATAACTTTTGAAGTTAGGATAAACTTTAAGTATACTTATTTGATTCTAATCTAAAAATAATATTTAAAGTTATGTATTAAGTTGAAAAGTTATGGAAAAACTTTAAGTATACTTATTTGATTATAGTTTAAAAGAGATGTTCAAAGTTATATAAGTATTAAGTTGAGAAGTTATGAGAAAAAGTTTAAGGAATTTTTTTTGAAAATTTTCTTAGTTTTAAAATAACTTGTAAAGTTAGTAACAACTTTAAGTATACTTATTTGATTATAGTCTAAAAGTGATGCTCAAAGTTTTAAGTATTAAGTTGAGAAATAATGGAAAAAAGTTTAAGAATTTTATTTTTGAAAATTTTTCAAATTTTCTTAGTTTTAAAATAACTTATGAAATAATACAGAAAGAAAACTTTTTTGTTAACTTCAACATCAAATTGAAGTTTTTGCTTGAATCAAGTTAATTGATGCCTTCTTTTTTTATTGTTTCGATCTTAATTCTTGTCTTTTCTTCATCGAGTTTGAGTGAACCCGATTGTTATTCCGTCGCGTCTGCAGCTTCGAGACTTTGATTTGTGTACGTAATCGTGAGTGTGTAGTAAATTTCACGGAGTCCGTTACTGTGTCCTTTCTCTCTGCACAAAAGCCAGAGAGAAGGAAAAATTTCACACACGCACCCGAAATAGCGGCACGATTCTGTTCCACCACACGTCGCATTTTTTTTTTACGTCCTCCTTCTTTTTCCATCCTCTATCTCTTAGTCTCTGCTCTTTACTTTTTCGAATTCATACGTGTTTGGTTAACTGTAAATTGAGAAATAAATGATGAAGAGAAACAGCAACAACGAAAAAAAAAAAAGATGTAGTTGTATTGAGATTTTGTGTGCGTTCGAGAGAGAACGAAATATGTTAGGATTGGGTGAATGAAAGAGAGAAAGAGAGAAGAGAGACCTCCGTCCTCCGCGCAATGCAATCGAATGTATCCGCTATGTGTCCCCATTCCGAGGAATTACCGATATCGCAAACACAGCTCTGTATACTAATTAATTGTTGTAAATTCCTAGTGATGGACAACGGTCCCGCGAAGAAAGCCGGAACGAGCAAGAGATTGGTGACTGCCGGTGACGCCTTGGGAGATCCCTTCGAGGTGTCCACGATCCGCAGGGAGGATTTGGCCTTCCACAGGGGAAAGGCTGAAGGAGATGATGTGATGCAGTGCAACAACGCTCCTTCGTCGAGAACGCCGAGAGGTCATCAAGGACCTGCTGCGTTCCTTCTGTTGTCTTCTGGTCTCGAGGGTCACGGTTCCACCCACGAGAAGCCCATTCCGTACAGCCATTTGGACATCGCCGGTTCCGGCGGAGACTTCCCAAATCCTGCTACAGGTGCTCCTATCTTAGCTTTGGCTAAAGCCTTCCTCCTCTAAGATGTCTACACTATCCTTTAATCCATACACTTACTGTATGAACAACATTGTTTTCTTTTTATATATATTTAGATTTTGATTTTATGTGAATAAAGTTTTATTTGGCACTGACATCTAAACTCATCCACCTGACTTAATTCCTTACTTAAATTACAAATTATTCAAAGAAACAAACTAAAATTTCTTTTGCAGACTAAATAAAAGTGAACGAAAGTTGAAGATAATTTTGCTTTCTTTCTTTTCATTCATTCAACGAAAGTACACACGTTTCCACTTGGTATTTTATGGTTATGAAATGCGTTTCGAGTGCATCAAACATACCATATACGGCGGAATATTTTGTATCGTAGTCGTCGTTTTTCCGTTTCTTTTTTGTTTCTGTCATTTTGAGGTCTCTTGTCACGGACGCAGGTTACGCAAAGCGGATGCAATCTATTTCGGGCATCTCTGCATCATTACATATACAAACTATCCTCCTGCAACAATGAGTAGGAAGGAAGAAGTTGTACGAAAGCCGACAAATGTAACGAATTTTATCTCTTAAAAAACAGTTATTTCGTTAAATATAATGGAGTTTCTTAAGAGGAATCTTTAAAGATAAATTAGTTGATATATACATTATTTTATTGAAGAAAATTCTATCAGAACTCTATAAACAGATACAAATAATTATGTAAATTATTCTACAACCACGTATACGTATACTAGATTGTTGAATACTTGAATTAAAGCTGAAAGTCTCACCTTTTCAACGTACTTGTCTTCCTTTCGTCTGTTATGAGCTGTCAAATGTGTAATTACTGAAAAGAACCAACTTCGATGTCTTCAGTTCCTCGAGAACTGAAATAACTACTTTCATCATCTTATACTCAAATTAAAGCAAAAAGTCTCAAATATCCAACGAACCTATTAATAGATCTCTGATGTCATCCGCTATACGAATTATAAAATCTTTGATTAATTTCAACAGAAAAGTTATATTCTGCTGAAGAATAGGGAAAAGTCGAAGTCTTATCTTGTTTATCAATTGAAGACGTTTTTTACGCACAAATCAAAAATAACTTTGAGTAATCTGTCGTCATTTTATCTGCTCAAAAGATTATTTTCACGTTTTCATGAATTTCAATGTCTTCAATTTATCATGAATTGTTCGAAAACTGAAATAACTACTTACATTATTTTATACTGAAATTAAAGCTGAAAGTCTCACATTTTCAACGTACCTATTGGAAAATCTCTGCTAACATCCGTTCGACTACAACGAGTTCTCAAAAGTGCCATTGCTGAAAAGGATCATCTTCACGTTTTCATTAATTTCGACGTCTTCAATTTATCATTAATTGCTCGAAAACTGAAATAATTACTTACATTATCTTGTACTGAAATTAAAGCTGAAATTCTCAAATTTCCAACGAACCTATTGACAGATCATCTGCTGTCATCTATTCTATTCGAGTAGTAAGCTCTCAAAATTTCCATTGCTGAAAAGATAATCTTCACGTTTTCATTAATTTCGACGATTTTTGACTTCTTCAGTTGAACGTTAATTGCTCAAAAACTGAAATAATTACTTATATTATCTTATACTGAAATTAAAGCTGAAAGTCTCACATTTCCAACGAACCTATTGGAAAATCTCTGCTATCATCCATTCGATTACTACGAGCTCTCAAAGTGCCATTGCTGCAAAGGATCATCTTCGCGTTTTCGTTAATTTCGACGATCTTCGATGTCTTCAGTTTATCGTGAATTGCTCGAAAAATGAAATAATAACTTACATTATGTTATACTGAAATTAAAGCTGGAAGTCTCATATTTCCAACGAACCTATTGGCAAATCTCTGTTATCATCCGTTCGACTATTACGAGCTCTCAAAATTGCCATTGCTGAAAGGATCATCTTCACGTATTCATTAATTTCGACGCTTTTCGGCGTCTTCAGTTGAACGTTAATTGCTCAAAAACTGAAATAATTACTTATATTATCTTATACTGAAATTAAAGCTGAAAGTCTCACATTTCCAACGTACTTATTGGCAAATCTCTGCTATTTTCTGTTCGAGTAGTACGAGCTCTCAAAATTGCCATTGCTGAAAAGGATCATCTTCACGTGTTCATTAATTTCGACGATTTTCGACGTCTTCAGTTAATCGTTAATTGCTTGAAAACTGAAATAATTACTTACATTATCTTATACTGAAATTAAAGCTGAAAGTCTCACATTTCCAACGTACTTATTGGCAAATCTCTGCTATTTTCTGTTCGAGTAGTACGAGCTCTCAAAATTTCCATTGCTGAAAAGATCATCTTCACGTTTTCATTAATTTCGACGCTTTTCGACGTCTTTAGTTTATCGTTAATTGCTTGAAAACTGAAATAATTACTTACATTATCTTATACTGAAATTAAAGCTAAAAGTCTCACATTTCCAACGAACCTACTGGCAAATCTCTGCTATCATCCGATCGACTACTATGAGCTCTCAAAAGTGCCATTGCTGAAAAGGTTCATCTTCACGTTTTATCATTAATTTTGACGATTTTCGATGTCTTCAGTTTATCATGAATTGCTCGAAAAATAAAATAACTACTTACATTATCTTAAACTAAAATTAAAGCTGAAAGTCTCACATTTCCAACGAACCTACTGACAGATCTCTGCTGTCATCTATTCGACTACTACAAGCTCTCAAAATTGCCATTGCTGAAAAGATCATCTTCACGTTTTCATTAATTTCGACGATTTTCGACGTCTTCAGTTAATCGTTAATTGCTTGAAAACTGAAATAACTACTTACACTATTTTATACTCAAATTAAAGCTGAAAGTCACACATTTTCAACTAACCTATTGGCAAATCTCTGCTATCATCCGATGGACTACTATGAGCTCTCAAAAGTGCCATTGCTGAAAAGGTTCATATTCACGTTTTTTCATTAATTTTGACGATTTTCGATGTCTTCAGTTTATCATGAATTGCTTGAAAAATGAAATAACTACTTACATTATCTTATGCTGAAATTAAAGCTGAAAGTCTCACATTTCCAACAAACTTATTGGCAAATCTCTGCTATCATCCATTCGACTACTACTTGAACAATTTTCGATGTTTTAAGTTTATAGTAATTGCTAGAGAACCGAGAGAGTTAATTACATAATATTGAATTCAAATTAAAGCTAATAATATCTCCTTTCTAACTAGCCTACCAAAAACGTTGTGCTATTATCAGTTCGTTTGCTACGAGCTATCAAAAGTGTCGTTGCTGAAAATAAACCATCATAACGTTTTCATTAATTTCAGGATAACCACGCTGGATAATTACATAATTCAACAATAATCGTAAACTGGAGACTACTACTTTGTTATGGGTGTGTTAATATATGTGCTAAATACATTTTTTTAAGAAATTAAACTAAATTTTAAACAAATTACATTTTTATATAAACTTATTTTTACGTTTTTTCAATTTTAAACTTGTAAATTTTGATTGTTTTTATGTATTTTTATATTTTATTGATTCACTTTCTAGAATATCAAATTGCATAGAAACATCGCAAGAAAAAAAAAAGTGTTTATATTTGGAATAACCGAAATTCTTGATTGTTTTTTCTTCTTGTAATTAAAAATTTGTTAATAAATTATTTTGACAAATATCAAGGACATTTGTGACGCATTTTTCTTTTATTTTGCATTATAATTTGCAATATTCTTTAGGAAAGAAAATGTAATAGTTAAATTACATTTATTTAAGTTATTGGAAGTGATTTTATTGTAAATCAAATACGGAAATCACCATGAAAAGATAGGAAATATCTCTTGTTTCATTCATTTCCTCGATGACCATTCTCGTCTTTTTCAATGGTAAGATTCTATCTGTATGTTTTTGTATAGTTTGTATATATTAATAGACTTTATAGGAAAGCGATGCGTGTCGTATTGAGTGTGTGTCATAAGGACGTGTAACCAATAGACTCGGATAGACTTGCAAACGATGAAGAAGTAAAATAAAAACTGCGAATTACATAACGACTCATTGGTGATTCTAGGCTCGTCTCCGCCTATGATGATGACTGACAATCCCATTCGGCCAAGATCAATGTGCACACAAAGGCACACTGAACACAAAAATAAACCACAGGAACGGATAAGATCGACCGACGAAGAAATGCGTGAAATTCATATCAATAATGATTGCATAATTTGCAGAAGAAGTTACAACATCAATCAAAGACGTTTTTTTTGATGTAATAGTTATATAATTTTGAAAATAAATGAAATTGAAGGAAACTTATTGAAAATTAATAAAAAGAAAATTTCATAATTTACTGAATAATCGGTGAAAGTTAAATCATTAAATTCTTCATTCAATTGAACCGCATTTTTATGGACAAATTAAAAACACTTTGGGTAATTTAAACGTAATTGATATAGAAAATATAAGAAAAAGAAAAGTTTGCTGTAAAATTGGAGAAAGTTAAAATCTTCATTTCTTCATCAATTGAAGCTGATTATTTAATTTACTATTAATGCAAACCCTTTTTGATGTGTGAATTATAAAATATTTGAGAAATTTTAACTTAATCTTAAGTCTAGAAATTTTACAGAAAAAAAACAATCAGGATTTGCTGAAAAATTGGGAAAAGTTAAAATCTTTACTTCTTCATCAATTGAAGCTCAATTTTTACTTTATTGTTAATTCAAACTCTTTCTGATGTACAAATTATAAAATCTTTGAGAAATTTGAACTCAATCTTAAGTCTAGAAAATTTACAAAAAACTGTTATAATTTGCTAAAGAATTGGGAAAAGTTCAAATCTTCACTTTTCCACTAATTGAAGCTCAATGTTCACTTTTTTTATTAATTATAATTAATATTAAGTCTAGAAAATTTACAAAAAAACAGTGATAATTTGCTTAATAATTGGGAAAAGTTAAAATCTTTACGTCTTCATTAATTGTAGCACTCTTTGATGAACGAATATTGAGTAATTTCAATGTAATAAGTATAAAAACAATAAACAATAAAGAAAATTTCCTAATCTACTGAAGAATCAGGGAAATTTTGAGTGATCCGAATGTAATAAATATAGAAAATATACAAAAAAGAAAAT